CACTGCAGCACTGTTCCCTGTTGATGCACCAGAGATGCTGAGGCTGCCTTGTCTATTCATACCGCTTGATTTGCTATATACATGGCCTATATATGGCCCATGTGACTCTCCAGGCCAGAATACTGGAGTGGGTAGCTGTTCCCTTCTCCAGGGGTTCTTCCCAACCCAGATATGGAACCCAGGTCTCTCCCATTGTAGGCGGTTTCTTTACCAGCTGAGCCACCAGGGAATCCCATATATATATATACACATACATACATATATGTACTATATAAGATTTTTAAAAAATCTTCATTATACATACAAGGAAACTGAAGAGAAAATGTACTGACTACATCCCCATAACTTTTCATTTACATAGAAACTATTTCAGTGAGTTATTTCTAGCAGTCAAGAGTCAGTTTAGATTAATTCCATCATTCTATGCAAACCATCAAGAATGGTCAATAAGTCCTAGCCTGGAAAATATATTTAAAAAGCACCATCTATTTGGCACAGGCCTTCATAACTCTGTGTATCAATGACCTTCAAAAATTGATCTCAATTAGTGATTATTGGAGCTAGCCAGCACTACTTAATCTTCACCCTTTTGTGCTTAATTCCTTTAGCTTATAGTTCTATTTCTTTACTATTCTGAATTAAATACTAATCACAGTTTAGTTCAGTCGCTTAGTCGTGTCCGACTCTTTGCGACCCCATGGACTACAGCATGCTAGGCCTCCCTGTCCATCACCAACTCCTGGAGTTTACTCAGACTCATGTCCATCGAGTCAGTGATGCCATCCAGCCATCTCATCCTCTGTCATCCCCTTCTCCTCTTGCCTTCAATCTTTCCCAGCATCAGGGTCTTTTCCAATGAGTCAGTTCTTCCCATCAGGTGGCCAGAGTATTGGGAGTTTCAGCTTCAGCATCAGTCCTTCAATGAACATTCAGGACTGATTTCCTTGAGGATGGACTGGTTGGATCTCCTTGCAGTCCAAGGGACTCTCAAGAGTCTTCTCCAACACCACAGTTCAAAAGCGTCAGTTCTTTGGTGCTCAGCTTTCTTTATGGTCCAACTCTCACGTCCATACATGACTACTGGAAAAACCATAGCTTTGACTAGATGGACCTTTGTCGGCAAAGTAATGTCTCTGATTTTTAATATGCTGTCTAGGTTGGTCATAGCTTTTCTTCCAAGGATCAAGCGTTTTTTAAGTTCATGGCTGCAGTCACCATCTACAGTGATGCTGGAGCCCAAGAAAAGAAAGTCTGTCACTTTTTCCATTGTTTCTCCATCTCTTTGCCATGGAGTGATGGGACCAGATGCCGTGATCTTAGTTTTTTTAGTTTTAAGCCAGCTCTTTCACTCTCCTCTTTCACTTTCATCAAGAGGCTTTTTAGTTCCTCTTCACTTTCTGCCATAAGGGTGGCATCTTCTATGTGTCTGAAGTTATTGATATTTCTCCCGGCAATCTTGATTCCAGCTTGTTCTTCATCCAGTCCAGTATTTTGCATGATGTACTACTCTTCATATAAGTTAAATAAGCAGGGTGACAGTATACAGCCTTGAGGTACTCCATTCCCAATTTGGAACCAATCTGTTGTTCCATGTCTGGTTCTAACTGTTGCTTCTTGACGTGCATACAGATTTCTCAGGAGGCAGGTAAGGTGGTCTGGTATTCCCATCTCTTTAAGAACGTTCCACAGTTTGTTGTGATCCACACAGTCCTCACATATGCAGATGACACCACCCTTATGGCAGAAAGTGAAGAGGAACTAAAAAGCCTCTTGATGAAAGTGAAAGAGGAGAGTGAAAAAGTTGGTTTAAAGTTCAACATTCAGAAAACTAAGATCATGGCATCTGGTCCTATCATTTCATGGGAAATAGATGGGGAAACAGTGGAAACAGTGTCAGACTTTATTTTGGGGGGCTCCAAAATCACTGCAGATGGTGATTGCAACCATGAAATAAAAAGACGCTTACTCCTTGGAAGGAAAGTTATGACCAACCTAGATAGCATATTAAAAAGCAGAGACATTACTTTGCCAACAAAGGTCCATCTAGTCAAGGCTGTGGTTTTTCCAGTGGTCATGTATGGATGTGAGAGTTGGACTGTGAAGAAAGCTGAGCGCCAAAAAATTGATGCTTTTGAACTGTGGTGTTGGAGAAGACTCTTGAGAGTCCCTTGGACTGCAGGGAGATCCAACCAGATCTCTATCCTAAAGGAGATCAGTCCTGGGTGTTCATTGGAAGGATTGATGTTGAAGCTGAAACTCCAGTACTTTGGCCACCTGATGCGAAGAATTGACTCATTAGAAAAGACCGTGATGCTGGGAAAGATTGAGGGCAGGAGGAGAAGGGGTCGACAGAGGATGAGATGGCTGGATAGCATCTCTGACTCGATGGACATGAGTTTGAGTAAACTCCGGGAGTTGGTGATGGACAGGGAGGCCTGGTATGCTGTGATTCATGGGGTCGCAAAGAGTCGGACACGGCTGAGCGACTGAACTGAACACAGTCAAAGGCTTTGGCTTAGTCATAAAGCAGAAGTAGATGTTTTTCTGGAATTCTCTTGCTTTTTCTATGATCCAACAGATGTTGGCAATTTGATCTCTGGTTCCTCTGCCTTTTCTAAATCCAGCTTGAACATCTGGAAATTCACGGTTCACATACTGTTGAACTAATCACAGTCAGTGTGATTACTAATGCCAGTCAAGCCAAACTTTCATCCTTCACTTCTTTGCCCTTCTGAATGCTGCTACTTGAAAATTTGTCTGTTGAGAATCACAGACTTCTATAGTTAAAGCGACCTTATTAGTTTATAACACCATCATTGATTAGCCAAGGAAATGGGAATCTCGGATATATGAAATAATTTGTCAAGGATACACATGGAATTAGTGGCAAAGCCTGCATTCAAACCAAACCTAATTTCTAGTCCATTCCTTTGCTTACATATTTTGCTTTCCTAGGTCTTCATTTTCTCCTCAGGTCACAAGGCTGCTCCCACTCATTTTTTCTCAGCCTTTTGCTCTTCAGTGGGACTGTGAAACTGCTCCCATACTTCCAAGTTTCTAGTAAGAAGGTGCATAAATCTCCTCTTGATCATTCACTGTAGTTTCTTACCCATAGGATTTCTCCTTTTGGATGTTCTAATTTCCAAATTCAGTTCCAGAGCTGACCTACCACCTTCCTCTAAATTCCTCCTCAGCTTATCTCCAGTAGTGACAGCACTATTCTTCCTAGACTTAGAGTCCTGGTGGTAGTAACGAGTCAATCCTTTCCTCTTCTTAGTCACCACACTCACTCTTAGAATTGTATTTGTCCAAGACCTTTGCATTTTCTTTGTCTAAATGATTTCCATGCCGTTCTACTCTTTTGGCTTTCAAGAAGTTGAACGGATGTTTTGAAACTGATTCTACCATTTACTAAGCAAATTGTGTGAACTGGCAAAGCCTCTGTTAGCTATCTGTAAAATGGGATAATAGTGATCTAAAATTGTTGTCAAGATTAACTGAAACAAGATATAAATTTTCAGTTGTAAAGTTTAACTCATAGATGCTCAACAAATATTTGTGGAGTGAATGTTACTTCCCTCTTCCTTATAGCCATAATGAGTATATGAGTTTGAAAATTTTAACTACCTAAACAATAGATTAGATATTAATACTTGAAGGTTTATTTAATGATCAATAGTGTCTCCTTTGCTCTATGATCACTTCAGATGCTGGTTATGCAAAGTGTTTTTTCTCTTGGTCTATTTCTTTTTTCTTGGTCTATTTTTATTTATAATAACTGTACTGAGATTCATCATTCATTCATAACTTTAGAATTCATCTTTGAAAATAATACAGTTCAGTGTTTTTTACTCTATTCATAAAGTTGTAGAACCATCATAAGTATGTAATTTTAAAACATTTTCGTTACTCCAGAAAGAAACCCCATACCTCTTTGCAGTCACTCCCTGTTCCTTCCTCCCCATAACTCCTGGCAACCACCTATTTATTTTCTGATAGTTCTGACCATTTTATATAAATAGAATCAAACACGATAGGACCTTTTGTGTTTGGCTTCTTTCACTTAGTGTAATGTTTCCAAGGTTCAATCCCTGTTGCAGCGTGTATCTAGAACCTCATTCTTCTCTAAGGCTGAATAATATTTCGTTGTATGGAACAGACCACATTTGTTTATCCATTCATCAATGGCAGACAGTTGGGTTGTTTCCACTTTGGGGCTATTAAGAATAATGCTGGTATGAACATTTGAGTACAGGTTTTTATGTGGAAGTAGTTTTCAGATCCTTTGAATATATGCTTCGGAGTGGTCTTAGTCTAGAATTTTTAGTTGATGAAGCAAAAGAATTTTCACTTCAAAGCAAAGAGTTCTAATGGTGAGAGAACTAAAGGTTCTTATTTGGGATGTTTCCTTCTATGTTGGTTCCTAAGATTAAAATTCTTTGCACTGGACCTCACAGAAGGCTATAAATCAACAAAATCAAGAGCCTTTTCTGAAAGGATCAGAAATAATACAAATGCCCCTACATAATAAAGGATGTTTGTATTAGCATAGGGTAACAAAGTAATCCCCAAATCTCAACTCTCATCAGAGTATTTATTTTCATTCACTTTATATCCAAGGTGCGCTGAAGGAATCAGAAAAGGAAAACTCTCCTAAAGGGATGCAGATTAAGGAAAAGTTAGGTTAAAGTGAATATATTTCAGAAGAATCCTGTCTTCTGCTCTGCAGCCTGAGCCTTCACAGTGAGGGTAGGAATGTTTCCCGTTTCCCTGAGCCATTCCGCTTCCCAATAAAACTAAAAGGTAGAGAAAGTGGGGCCTGGAACAACTTTTGGAATGATGTTTCCATCCAATTCAAGAGTAGGCTTCAAGCACTGCCTTCACTTTTTTAGAAAGCCACAGAAAGGGAAAAAACATCTTTGAAATAGAGCTCGGCTTCGGGCATCATATGGTCAGTCACACAGAGGTCACTAATTACTCTTCCCTTTCTTGTTTTTCAGTGAACGAGGTAATTGGGAGAGACATGTCCCAGATTTCCGTTTCCCAAGGGACAGGGGTGAGCAGGCAGGCTCCCCTCCCGGGTCCCAGTTCCCTGGATTTAGGAAGATCCGACGGGCTCTGACAGTGCTCACTGCAGCCTTGTGTCCACCATCATGTACTTCTCAGCATGTTTCTCTCCTTGGACCTTGGGTTTCCAACTCTGCAACCTTCAGGATGGAGCCAGGAGTTGGGATCACCGTATGTGGGGAAAGCAGCATTCCTCCAATTCATGCCTTGGGAAGATTTTGTAAGAGAACAGGAGCAGTACAGGCTGTTTGATCTTTGGAGAAATGAGCTTTGCTTTTTATATTTAAATAGGATACTTTTATATGATGGGTGCTTTGAGTGTGAATGCAGCAGGCTCTCCATTTCAGAGGTGCTGCTTCTGCAGGTGACCTGGTTGCTTAGCTAGGATTGGTGATTTGTACTGCTTTAGGTCATTTGAAGGACTCTTTAGCTTTGATGGTATTTTTAAAGTAGAAACTTTTCATAAAACTTTCCAGAGGTGAAAGAAAAAAAAAATTACCCCAAGCCCACACTTATGCCTCAGAAACTCAGCATGTGTCCTGGAAGCCTTTCATAGATTTATAGGAAATAAAGCCAAATGTAGCTCATACTTCTTTATAAAAGTAAACTCTCAGATAAAATGAGAAGAGACCATTCCAATCACTGAAGTATTGGAATACAAAATGACATTCCAGAGCATAGCATTTTTGTAACTTTTTAGGTAATCTTCCTGCTGTCTCTCCATACCCTCTCCATGTTGAAATTGCTTTTTTCCCCTCAGGGCCTTGGGTAAATTAACTACATGTAAGGGAGCTTTGAAAGATTGGGGGTTTTTTAGCTTGATATCTTTAATTCCTGCCATCCTACTAACAGGTAGGCTGTGGAGTATTTTTCCTTTTTGTGTCCTCTGGTCCCAGACCTTTTCCAAGTGGAAGCATCAGCATTTGGCTACCATAGTCTCCTGATGGTTTGTTTAGGCAACTTTGCTGCTTCTAGCTCATCTCTAGAGGCCAGGCTGTGTCAGAAGCCAAGCAAAAATGAGCTATGCTTCAGGACCGGGGCAGAGGACCTGCAGGATTCCAGATGGGAAGCTCTTAAGATCTGCACTGGCGTGGGAGGCTTTTCCCTCGTTGTTTACAGCCTGAAATGATCCTGGCCTATCCTGCCCCATCCACATGGCCTAAAAAGCAGCCTTTCCCTAAAAGGCTTTGAGGCAAATCCAAAAATGAGATACCATTGTAAGCCTGCCCCTCCACACCAAAGATGCCCTGGTGCTGCTGCTGGTAAGGCTGGTGCCCAAAGAGGGGCCAGCAAGAAACTCCAGCCTGCTGTCTACCAAAGGAGGTGCCCAACTTGGGTTCTCTTTTCAAACCCTGCCCTTACCCATCCCCTTAGTGGGATTAGTTTCCTGTTCCAAGGCTTGGGCCTATTTCAAGGCCCCTGAAGCTTGTAGTACGTTTTCAAACGAAATGTTGTACTTCTATTCAGGAAGCAAATTTTCTGAGTGCCTACATAGGAGAGACAGTGTGGTGGGCTCGTCAAAGGCTCCATGCTGTTACTCCAGGGGATTGTGGGTCCCAGATGTCAGGACTCTCTACTGAGGCCAAGTGAGGCCTGGGTGGAGGGAGCCAGCTCAGTGTCCACCATCTCTAGTCAGCCTGATAGGAACTGTTGACCTACGATGAGGAAGTATGGTCTTTTTTTTTTTCCTTTAAGCCATGATGTTTTCAATTTCTCCCTAAAATTAGTTAGAAAAAAATGTCTATCTTTCAGCAAATCACTCTAGTCCTTCCTGGAGCCCAGTGTTTTCACATTTTCTTTGAAAGTGAGTTTTGTGTCACAGAGTGTAGATAGTGAGATTTGCTTTGGGGCCTGTGGTTGGAAGCCCAGAACTTCCTCTGGAGGGTTTTGGGGGGCTGACCCTCTTGAGATGGCCAGACTTGCCTCCGCCCTCATGCCCCTGGTGTAGCCACCTCACATGGGGTCCTTACGAGAGCTTCCCTTGCAAGACCCTTTGGGGGTTGCTCTGTTGCCCTCAAGAATAAAAGCCTCTATGATCCAGAGTTGCTATGCACCAAAATTTGATGCCTTTTAAATACCTTGATGCCTGTAGCACTAGAAATGCTTTCCTATTTAAAATAAAAGTTAAATTTTAAAATAGAGCTTTGTATACTACATAAGCAGTTTTGTATCAGCTTTGTAAAAGCTTTGGTGTAAGAGACAGTATTTTTTGGCTTTGTAGACAAAGACCTTAATTTTTGTGCAACATAGTGGTGTTACAGCACACATCCATTAGACTATGCAAATTGAATTCTAGTAACAGCACTGAGCAACTGGGCATGTGCTAGCACCCACCCCTCCCCTCTCCAACCCTGCTAGACCTTGGGTTGAGGAATGGGATGAGCAGCCTTCTGCTTACTGGAGATACACAAAGAAACTTGGCTGAAACAGCTTTTAAAGGAACAGATGTCTTTGAGTTTGAGTGTGGTGCTGCTGCCCAGGGTGCATCCCACCCCAGCCCAGGGCTAGCCCCTATCACCAGAGCTCTGCTGAGTCCAGCTGTAAAGCCCTGTTGTTGATACTCAGAACAGATGGTCATCTGTATGGCGCCGGTGGGTTCAAGTTGAAACCTTGTATTTTATAAAATGGATGATGTTCAATTAAGGAACTGGTTCTCAGTTATGTTTACAGCACTTGAGATTGTGTTTTCTTGTGCATTTTGTATTTTAAAACCTTTTATAGGAGTACAGTGCTCCTTACACAAATACAAAGGGAAGAAGCCAGCAATTCAGGCTCCTCAGTTACAGTGCTGAAATAATAAATGGTGACAGGTCAACAGTCTCCTTGAAATCTGCCTGAGTGTTCCTCTGCATGGGGCTGGTGTGGAGCCCCTCACTGTGTGCCAAAGGGAAGGGCACTGGGCTTTTAAAAAGTCCATTTGGTTAGGAACGTTTATTTTACAGAGGAGCGGGTAGAATTCCAAATTCCTTCTGAAGCTCAGTTGGGCACCCTGCAGTGGGTGCAAAGGACATCCCAAGGTGTCTGCTGAGTTCAGGAAAACTGACCTGCCCAAGGTGTGCATGGAAAGTAGGCAGAAGTCCCTTTACAAGTCAAGCCTGAGTTTTTCTGTGGGGGCCTCCCGCCCCCTAGTGTCCTCTGGGGATACTGCAGTACAGTCCATCGAAACAGTTTGTGGTTTTTGCCATCTGCTACTCCTTGTGCCAAGCTCCAGGGGGACCAGCATCCTTAGGTGGGACCACCCCTGGCACCATGTGGTCACTGAGGTCCAAGTATCCTGGGGAGTGGGACCAGCACTCTCTGCTGCCCTGCGCCCCGTCAGGAGGGACAGGGGAAGGTAGGACACTGGTATCTTTACTCAGAAAGAAGCTCCCTGGAGTCATACACTGAAAGCACCAGGGCTTACATTTTTTAAAAAGAAACCAAGCCTGCTGTGGACATCAGCCCCCCAGAATCTGTAGGCACGGGCCATAACCAGAACAGAACAAAGGCTCTCTGGGTGCTACTTAAGGAGCCCAGATCCGACCACTGGGAGCAGGGTAGCGCCATTTCACCCCCAGCCCTGCATTCAGGGTCCAGCCGTCATCTCTGAGGTGGACAGGCAGAGCGATAAGTAGGGGGAGCTGGGGCTTGATCTCCTCTGGGGGCCTTCTGAGAATTTTGAAAAGCCAGAAAGAAGCCACCAGGTTGAGGGCGCTGGTTCTCTGGAGTCAGGAGAGTCCCATTAGCTGAGGACATCAGTCAGCTCTTACCTCCTGGCTCCCTCACCTACAAACACACCCATTCTTTGGGGGCCTGTAGCACAGTGCGAGCTGGGTCACCAACAGGCATCAGGCTGGTGTAGTCATCAGGGGCTAGCTGCAGGAGGGACAGAGATTTAGCCAGGGAGCCCCAGGCTCAGTCAGCTTCCCCAGCCCTCCAGCCAAATCTCACCTGGTAGGCCTGGAAGACGCTGAGCAGATCCTTCATACCAGCTGTGTATGGGACACCCTGCATACGGACCAGGGCTCCTGGCTGGGACAACACGGAGGTGGGAGCAGAGGCCAGGGCTGCAGTGGGTGTGGTGAGGTAGCCCATAGTGGTGGGGGAAACTGGAGGGCTGGGGGGAAAAGGCAAGGATTTAGTAGTGTAGTCCCAGTTATGGCCTAGACCGAGCCCTGCCTGCCTCCTCCCTTGCCTCTGCCTTGTGTTTGGTTCATTTCCTCCTCCCTGAAACCCCTGCCTCCACAGAGTCCTCCCTATTCCAGTATGTAGGTGGCATCAATCAGCCCACGCTTGTCACTCCCTCACTGTCTCTATAAGGGAGCTCCAAGAGGCCTTGAGTTATGTGGCCCAGGAAGGGGATCATGCATGGATCATAACCCTCCCGCAAACCAAGACGAGGGCAAGACTGAAGTTCTTTTAGCAGTAGGGTACCTGGGGTAGTATGCTGTGTAGTTCATGTAGAGTTGAGTGGCTGGCCCTGGGTAGTAGGCAACCGGGGTGGGAGCAGCAGGCACCCTGGCAGCTGGGAGTAGTGCTGAAGAGGGATACAGAGCTGCTGTCTCAGTGGGAATGAGGGTCGGGGTGGCCTGGAAGGTGGCGTAGGCGGGTGGTGAGAGGCCTAGAGGCAGAAGCAGAGAGTGTATCTGCAGGGAGCCCAGCACTGCCCTGGGTGGGGCAGCCAGAGAGGAGTCCCCCCACGAAGAAAGTGAGGGTGATAACAGCCTGGCTCCCACATGCTGCTTCCTTCCCCAGCCCCTGGGACACTCACAGGGCAGCTTGCAGGGTGGAGGAGACATGCCACTGCGGCCCAAGGTGCCCCCCATCAGGACACGGCTCATCTCCTCTGTGGAGCAGGGGACCACCTCCACATAGCGTTCCTTCATTGCTTTCTTATGGCAGCGCTGAGCAGCAGCTAGGGCCCGCTCTGGTGATGTCATCTGGATGAAGGCATCCCCGGATGGCCGGCCCTGTGCACACCACCTTGTGAGCCGTCTGTCATGTGCAAGAATCCCTTACTCCCAACCATGCCATCCCGCTGGCTCGCCCTGGGCAGCAGCTTCACCTGCTGGTTGAGCACCATATGCACACCGTGAGGCCGAATGTCAGCTGCCGCCTCGCCCAGAAAGCTGAGGATGTCTTCGATGGAGGCTGTGTAGGGCAGGCCTCGCAGGCGGACACAGTCTCTCCCGGTCCCAGCTGCCAGTGGGAAGGGGATGGGCAGCAGTGGAGCAGTCAGGGTGGGAAGGAGTGGGCTGGAGGCATAGCGGTTCAGGACCTAGAAGTAAAGGAAGCAGCAGGCTAATTATGCCAAGGAGGGCAAGGCCAAGGCAGGGGGAGAAGGGGCACCCTAGAGACATGGGGTGGGGGGGCCTGGGTGGCTCACCTGCTGCACCTCAGCTGCAGTGCTCCGGAAGAGTTCAATGTATCGCTTACCCAGCATGCCCTTATGCCTGCGTAACGCAGCCTGTGCCAGCTCCTCACAGGCAAAGAGGGCAAAGGCATCACCCGTGGGCCGGCCATCAGGGTGGCGCACAAAGAGCAGCCCATCAGCGCCCCCCGTCACGGGGCACTCTGGCCCCAGAAAGCCTAGCACGTCTGCTGGCCCAGCCGAGAAGGGCAGTCCCCGCAGACGCAGGATCACTTGGTCTTCCTGTGACAGGAAACGCGCCACCTCTAGCGATGTGCCTTGGGGGAGGGGGGTTGCGCATGGGAGTCACCTACTGACTTCATCTGTGCCCTTCCAAATACCCACCCACACCGGCATGCAGGGGAGCAGGAAGGCATGAGGCATGAGGAAGCAAGACGTGTCAAGAGCCAGGGGGCACTAGGCACTGTCAGGAGCACACTCACCCCCTGCGATCTTCACAAACTCCTCTCCTGTTGCCTTATACACCTGTGGGGACAGCCCATGGGTCTCGTGCCTGCCCAGCCTCAGCTCTGCCCTGCTCCGCTCCCAAACCTAGAGCCCCACCTCGATATAGCGGATGCCCATGTGGTGCTTGTGTCTCTGCAGCGCTAGGTCCCGCTGTTCGCTGTCCACAAAATGGATGAGAGCCTCACCGTTTCTGCGGCCCTGGGCGTTGAGGCACAGTGCTACACCACCCCTGCAGAGCCAGCACTGCATTAGTCCCTCCTGGATGGGCCTGCCCTCCCATGCCCACCCACCCTGCTGTACCACCTGGCAATGTTGAGCCCTTTGAAGAATCGAGCCACGTCCTGGTCTGATGACTGCCAGGGCAGCCCACGAGCCCGAACCACAGTCTCGCTATCCACCACGTCAGCCTTGCTGCTGTGGGCGCAAGGCACAATCAGAGCTGTCCAGCTGCTGTCACCCCCAGCCCTGCCCCCTCACTCACCAAGGCCCTGTCTCATATTTCTGCTTCACCACTTCAGGCTTCAAAAACAGTTGACCTGAGAGGAGATACGGCATGGGGGTCAGCAGGGGGGGCCTGTCTCCCCACCAAGCTCTGCAAAAAGGACAGTTGAGGGGGATGAGGAGGTAACAAAGGGGCTTTCTTCACCTGTGGCCTCTCAGAGAAGGTGACACGTGGGGAGGGGAACTTGGAGGAAGTAAGAGGCAGGCATTCACCCAGCCATGAGAACAGGTGAAAGGTGGTGAGGGGAACCTTACCACTGGGACTTTCAAGCAGGTGGAGGATGATGGCTACCATTGTCTTCACTTCCCACACCCCAAAATCATCCTCTGTGGCATCTGTCTCGAGCCCCAAGTCTATGAGCAGAGAATAACAATGAGGAAATCCCAGCACAAGAGGACAACCAGCATGTCCCACTGACGCTCACGGCCCCTACATAAACACATGCAGAATCCCAGCAAACACGTTTGTTTTGGCTTGTGCCATCTGTGCCATTACAGATCCCTAGCCTAGATAAATGGAGACATATGCCCACATTCCAAATGTGCCCCAGCACAGACACACAGACTTGCAGTCACCAGTTCATGTAAACTTGCATGTGTTCATCCAACCTGCCAGCATGCACACACTCAAGACACATTGAGCCTGCAGCCACCCTTCCACCCTCACTCTGCTGGGTTACAGATACCCTGTGCCATGGTGGCCACGGTGAGGTCCCTGGCAGAGCGGGCACTCGGGTGCTGCACGTGGAACTCTCTGCGGAGGTCGTAGAAGGAGAAGAAGGTGTCGGGGAGCACCAGGTTCTGGGGGCACATGGGAATGGGGATGAATGGGGGAACTGAGCTGCCCTGGCCTCCCCCCACCCCCACCCTGTGACAGTGGGCATCCTGGGAACCGTGCCCCCTGTTGTACCCTCAGTGGTGGCATACCTTCCTGGAGGCCTCAGGGTGCAGGACCTGTCGCAGCAGTTGCTGCCCATCAGTGCAGAGCATGTAGGGGCCCCCGCCCAGCAGAGCCACATCCCCGCTCACCAGCTGTGAGAACTGGGAATAGGGAGTGAAGAGAGAGACAGAGGGACTCACCGCCAGGTGGGCAGGGGGAGGGAGGGTGCAGGCTTGCAAAGCTGGTTCAGCCAGATGTTCAGCCCTTCCCTGCCTGGGGAGGAGGCTGCCACGCCTGCTGGGCCTGGCTCTGTGTCCCACCCCCTACCTCCCCATCCACTGTCACCTTCTCCAGGCCAAATGGGAGCAGTCACAGATCACCCGAGCCCCCATCACACACACTCCAGGAGTCTGGAATGGGGCCAGAGCAAACACCTGGTGGAGTGGGAAAAGCAGGTGGGGAGGGGCGGGACAAAGCAGGTTAAACCTGTCCCTGACCAGGCACCACCCTCAGACAGGTGAGGGAGGCCCAGCCTGCTCATGGTCAATGGCAGCCCCGCCCCTAGGTCTGACCAACCCGGGGGCCGAGAAACTCCAAGGACAGAGCTCCACACCTGAACGCCAGGGGCAGCATGAGCTTTGACCCAGACCCGATCGACCGGCTGGCACTGAGGTGTTTGCTCATGGAGGGGGCGGGAAGCGGCCCAGCCCCTCCCCCATTCTCATCCCCGCCGGCGAACACGTAAGAGCACAAACCACAGGCCCAGGAACCTTCCCTAGCCCGAGCTTTCCCATCTGAGGCTAGCAGAGCAAGGCGACCCAGCCCACGCATCCCAAGTGGGGGCTAGTTTGGGAGTCCTGGAACAGACTGAGGTTCCACATCGTTGTGCCTGTTTCCTCCTCAGGAACCACCAAAGTTGTCGGAAGATAAAAGAATTTGTGCTAGTAAAGCACTTTCACTCATTCCACCCAAGAGTCAGGCACAGGGTGAGCGCAGTAAAGAAGATAAGAAAAACAGCAAAGGGAACCGCCTTCCACTTCAGCCAGGCCTTTGCACTCAGGAGCCAGGTAGCCCCCCAGGCGGGGTCCGGACAGCGCCCATGCCTGGCCAGCCGACCGGGACAGGCCTGGACGAGCAGCTTACACCTGGCGGCGTCTACCTCCGGGGCAGACACCGCCCTACGCCCCCGCTGCAGCGTCTCCCAGGAGGGTGGGTGGGCAGGACACAAGCCGCACAGACCGTGACCTGTGGCCAAGTCTGGGCCCCTTGGCCCTTTCAGCTTCCGGCTGCTGTGTTGGACGACCTGGCCAGGCAGGTTCCCAAAGGCGTCTCACCTACCTCCCCCCGCAGGCCTGGGACTCTGGGAGGGGTCTCGCAGCCTCCATCTCCACCCCTTCAGTAGGAGTGGATCACTGCAAAGTCTGAAAAGACGCCCCCCTGGAACGGCCGACACATGCGGACACACGCACATTAGGGAGTCGCTGAAAGTTTCAAACAACAGGAACCCATCCTACCACCCTGGCCACTTGGTTGTGGTGCGCCAGGCCTCGCCTCCTGCCGCCTCGCCCGCCGAGAAATGTCCCTGCAGCCCGGCCGTGCCTCCATTCACCCCGGCCCCGGCGCTCACCTGCTGCAGCACTTTGTCCAGCGGCTCGGCCCGCGCCAGGCTGTCGGAGCTCAGGCCGCTCGCCTCGCGGCACTGCGGGCTCAGCGCGGCCGCCTCGGCGCGAACCAGTGACTTATGCAATGTCCCCACCTGCGAACGGCGGGGAAAACCGATCAGCCACTGCGCTCCTGGGATCCCGAAGCTTTCTGGAGATCTCAGCGCCCCCTTCCCACCCTACCTGGCGGCTCCGCGGCTCCACCACTTGCCAGACTAGGAGGATTAAGTCGGTCTCGTCGGAACCCAGGTCCGGCCCCAGCGCACCGGCCGTGGCCCCGAACAGTACGACCAGGGGTCCAGGCCCGGGACGGGGGTCGGCAGCGGAGTCTGCAGTGGGGTTCGGGCCTGGGGGCGGCGGCTGGGGTGGCGGCGGAGTCATGGCCGCAGAGGAGAGGGGCGCTCCGCCAGAGACACACGCGGACCGACGAAGCGCACGCACGCACCGACCGACGGCAGACGCGGCCCGGCTGGGGCGGGACACCGTGTGTTGGGGGCGGCACCTGCGGCCCGTCTGGCGCAGTGGGCGCTGCTGAGACCCGCCCGCGGCGCCCCGCGGGGCGGGGCGGCTACCGGCCCCCGCCCTCTCTGGGCGAGTTACCTGTCGGCCCCGCCGGCCACGTGATCGAGGGCCCGGGAACGGTGGGGGAGGGCCGCTAGAATCCAGCCCTGGACGCTCGCACTCAAAACCCAGACTCCACTCCCGCAGCCGACCCTGCCTGACTCCTGGGGCGACCCCCCACCCACTCCCACTCCCCTCTCCCACCAGGGCTCCATCAAGGAAAGTGCAAAACTGGGGGCCTTCTTCAGTCCGTAAGCGGCAGCCTAGAGGCTGTGGGGGGTCACGACGGCCAGTCTGGATGGGTAAAGTCAAAGGGGGCGGTAAGAGTTACCAGGTATCACCCCAAGGCTTGTAGGGTGATTGCCAGAGGTCGTCTAGGGTGGGGGGAGAGTGGCAGGAAGCACAGGAGAGCATTAGAACCATGGGGGGGATTCACCAGAGGTCAGTGGGCAGGGTTTGTGCACACAGGTGCGAAGGCTGGGCCTTAGCCGGGCTCCTGGAAGTGCCTGCGATGCCAAAGCGCGGTAGGATGTGTGCAGGACTCGGTCTCGGGAAGGAAGAAGCGTGTCTCCCACATCCCCGGCCCCAGCTCCCGAGAGCGGGCCTCTAGACGGCGCTGAGCCTGACTGCCCCAGCAAGGAGCCTCACCCCCACCCGACGTTTAGGGCTGCGGTCTGCTTTCGCCCTTCCGCCTGGATAACAGGCCTGTTGCTGGGAGTTGAGAGCGCGCTAGCCGATGGGGGCTAGCGGCAAAAGTGCAAGGGGGCCGCAGATCCTCCATCTCTTCTTTGGACAGTCCCTCGTGGAGGGCTCCCAGCACCCTTTCGTCCCGTCGGGTTTGGTGAGGATCCTTTATGGTGAGTCTCCAGGCCGCCCCGGACTTCCCCAAATTCTCCCGTTTATGTGACTGAGAAACTGAAGAAGAATCCGGTGAGAAGGGGCTCCAGCCCGGCGAGAGTAGACACACCGGGTTGCGAAGCCCGAGCTGGAACAGGGGCGCGAGCCTCATTTCACGCTTTCAGAGAAGCTGGGCGCTGGGTTTGGACTTTCGGACGACTGAGAGCGAAAGAGCCCGGCGTAGAGGAGGAGCCTCCGAGGCCTTACCCTCTGATACACACTGCACCGCGCGCGTCCCCACTTGGCGGATGAAGAGACTGAGGAGCCCGGGACACGGCCACTGGGAAGCAGAGGGAAAGCAGACTGGCCTTCCAGCGGCTGCTGGCGACCCGCGCTTCCTCTTTGAGTACAGGCGAGTGTCCGCGCTTCGCTGCCCTAGGTTAGACCGCCACCCAACTGCCAGCCCGCTGACCCCACCCCTGGACACACTGAGCCAGTTAGGCCCGGGGGGAGGAGGAAAAGCGCTCTTCGGGCACCACCCTCCTCTAGATAAGCCTGGAATGTCAAATATTTGTCCGGTGGGCGGGACGCGACAGCGAGGTAAAGCCCCTCCCTCACCCGACCAGGAGCGCGCGTGCGCCAGGCTGAGTCTTCCTCCCGGCCACGCCCTTGCAGCTAATTGCAATTCACCCCAACAGCACCCCATCCTCTCCTAAAACTTCGCTGGCGTGTATCGCCCCTCGCCAGGCTCCAGTCTGGGCTCTGCTCCTAGACAACAGAGCCCCGGGCCATCCGGACGGCTACCTGATTTAAGTCTCTCCTGGTATCCCCATCCATTCAACCACTAGACCTTCGCGCTAGGTCCTTTTTTATTCATCATTCAGCGCAGGTAGGTCTCCACGTCAGGTTCCCGGGGAAGCCTCCCGCTCGAGGTAACCCCTTGGTACCTCTAGCCGTCCTGAGCGCATTTCCACTGGAGACGCATTCATGAGTGTACAGGTCCTTGCGGAGTAGTAAACCCAAGCGTGGGACAGCTCCCCCAGATACCCGCGCACCTGTCTGCCCCCTGCCCCCCACATGATAATTCCTGATGTTAGGACTCTTGAAGAGCTAAATTTGTTAAAACTACGTTAGTCCCCCTGCTTTGCTGAGCTCCCTTACTCATTTTCAGATGGTCCTCCCAGATCACCCCATTAATATTAAACAACCCGCATTCCTGTCCCCCAACCGGCTCTCACGTCTTCTGCCACCACTAAAACAACTCCTAACACGATAAATCGTTTATTGTCTCCCTACCCCACCATCCATCACCTCCCCATCCCCCACTCTAACCCAGCCCTGTGAGAATATCCTTGAGGAAAGGCTTATCCAAAGTCTATCAACTGGACCTGCCGGGCACATAGTAGCAACATAGTAAGAATGAATGAATGGTTGACTAAGAGCTCTTCCCGTATTCCACCAAAAGTAACCTTCCCTGTGGCCACTGGACCTTTGTACTAGAGTCTCATTTGTGCCCTTTCCTCTCCTTCCAACCCACCCTTGCCCTAGTTAACCCCTGCTCTCCCTCCAGATTTTCCCCTCAAAGCACCTCCCACTGTGGTTTGAGATTTTTGTATTTCACTGATAAATGTCCCCCATCCTCACCCTGCTACTAGCTAGTGTTCCAAGTCACAAATGAATGAATCAGAGATAAGATACGCGAGAGACGTCAGCGAGGCTCCAACGGCATAGCCAGATTCCTTTTCCAAACAGTACTTGGGGTATTCAAGAAAAATCAACGTGGTCCGGTGAGCCTGCCCACAAGCTAGCAGAATCCCATCCTCACTGCAGCTCTTGGAAACCTGCCACTAAGGCAGTGGGCACTCCAGCTGCAGGTACGTGAAGGTCTGAGCAGATACAGGGTGGGGTTCCTCACCTGGGGAGTGTAGCTTTTCTCGTGGAACTCCAAGACGAGGAATGGTGTAGGAATGGTTTAAAATCACGCTCCTCACTCCCAGGAAATATTCCGTTGTCAGAGGATTTGAGGCTGAGCGCTTGCTTGGGGTCCATCGCGGTGATCCAGAGTCGCCAGCCCAGGCCCATCCCCACCCTCAGCGGCCAGCGGCCCCCCAGTTCGGCCAGCTGCGACCCTTTCTTACCTATTCTAGCAAGCTTCCAGAATAGCTAGCGCACTGGGTTCCCTGGGGTTTCCATTTCCATGCATTTGCTCCGCGAATGTCCGCTGAGTACCCACCAGAGGGCGCACTGATTCCATCGACGGAACCTGGTGTTGCGGAGTAGGCAGGAGCTGCTGGCATTGGAGACTTCACCCTAGGACAGCCTAGGTGAAAGGAGAAGCCCTTAACATCGCCTCCCAGGTCACTTACCTCCCCCTGAGAATTTTTAGTTCCCAGACCAGGAATCGAAGCTGTACCCCCCTGCAGTGGAAGCATAGAATCTTAACTACCGAGCTGCCAGGGAAGTCTCAATATGATCTCATTTAATGTTTAATGCCACAGGAATAAGGGCATAAACTGGGACATAAATAAGGAGGCTACTAGGGAGATGCGGGTAATCTGGCTTTGGGAGAGTAGAGCTGGGAAAACTTGGTGACTAGTTGTGCGTCTGAAAGTCAAGGAGGTATCTAGAGGTCTGCAGCCCAGGGGATCATGTTAAAAATGGGGGACCCTCACCCTCTGGCCCCTCTCTACAGTGCCTGCACTGGTTTATTACTGACTAGACCTTGGCACCCCCTCCTCCAGTGGTCATGGCTCTATCATCCTCAGGGCCTATGGGAGTGGGCCAGCAGGGAAACCCTCTCAAGGACAGGGCCACTCTCTGAGGGGCCCATAGGCACCTGAGGCTGCTGGGCTGACAAGGCATTTAGACTGTGATAAGAGTCCAAGGCAGGCCAGGCTGTCTTGATCTCCACCCTGTCCCCACTTAACCCTTGGCTCTAGACACCTGCCTATTATGGTCACCCAGAGCGGGTCTGCATCAGATCAGTCCTCAGCAGTCACTCTGCTGGGGTCTGGGATGGAGGTGAGGAAGGGTTTTAGAAGGGGGTCCCTGGGCCAGGGTGTGAGGTGGAAGATAGTTTGACCTTAAGTGAGGAGGATATCCCAACCACAAATGTGTTTCACTAAAAGCACATGGGAGGGGCAGGCCAAGGTGGTGAGTAGATTCATTGAGGGTCACTCCAGGAGGTTAGAAACTATCAGACACTGATTAAGAGAAAGAAAGGGGAGGGAGAGAAGGAGGGAGGAAGGGGCAATAAGAGATCTAGGAATCAGCCAGGGATGACCAGGGTGTTGACTGGCTCTCAAGAAAGGGATGTGTGAAGGGTCAAGAGCTCCTCTCCAAACATGCTGGTTCTCTATTCCAAAGTAATGCCGGGTCCCAGAATATTACTGGCTGTCAGACCTTTGCCCACTCTATTTGCTACCCGCCCCCGCCCCCGCGATTCCATGCACAGAGAACCTGTGTCCTTTCTGGATGCCCGGTTTGCGTGGGGTGGCAATGGTGGAGGAACATCAGGGGAACTCGCCTGTGGGCTGGTGCAGGGTTAGGCCCACTCTTAACCCGGCGAACAAACCAGCCAAGGATGGGGGTGAGAGGGTGATTACACACTTCAGAACCAGAAACAGGCGGGCTGAACTCTCAACTGGGAAGCGAAACACGCTGACCTGGCCTTACCCCAGAGAGATGGCAGGGGAGTCCTTGGGTCAGTGTTGCTTGAACTCAGGTGCTCTCGGGGAAGGGTGCCAAGAATCGGTTTGGGAGTTGAACAAAGGTCTTGGTCAGTTTCCTCCGGCTCAAGAACAGCCCGAGGCTCACTTGTCCTCTTCTTCCTCAGGCTTGACCGGGGTAGCTCAGCAGCGGCGAGCTACTGAGCTTTGTACCCTGAATTCCCACTTGGCCCGGTGCATCCTAGATCAGGAAAGCGCCAGGAATCATGGATAAGAACTGCGCACCGTGGACTTAAGATACGGAGGGCTGGGCTGGGTACCCAGAAGAGGCGGGTTGGGTGAGAACCTCTGAGAGCGTGCGCGAAAGCAGGGCTGAGCCTTTATCGATCGATGCGCTCGGCGTGCAGCGCGGCTAATGGAGTTGGCCAGGGATGGGTAGGGGCGGGGCGGGAGCTCCGACTGGGAAGGACTACCCAGGCGGCTAGTTCCTATTGGCTGACCGTTTGCAGGAGGCGGGCCCTGATTGGCCCGGCTGCTGTGAAGCCTGCGAGCGGCGGGGTTAAGAGCGTAGCTGTCGGCCGGGCCTAGGCACGAGACCCGAGAGCTGAGTCCGCTCCTCCGACCTGGAGCTGCGGTCCCTGCCATGGGTCGCCTCTGCCTCTACCGCCCCACCCTGCTCCCGGGTGGCCTCCTGTTCCTCCTGATGCTCGCAGATCCGGCGCTCCCGGCTGGAAGTCGGCCACCGGTGGTGCTGGGTGAGGCGCGCGTCCAGTTGTGGGTCCGTTCGTTCGTGCGTCCGGCTGGATGGGGTGCAGGCGGGGCTGTCTGCATCTCCTCTAAGCACGAGGTGGGGGAGCGTATGACTGTCTTGTCACCTGGGTCGGTCCGTCCACTTCCAGCTATGCTGGGCGTGGGTGTGGTCAAACTTGTCACCTTTCCCTGTAGAATGTGGGGTAAGTAGGAGGGTTATCGCGCTTTTATGCATCGGTCCGCGGGGTCGTCTCATTTCCAAGCTTCGCCTCTCCTTATCCCCATTTTTAAGCTGGAAAGACTGAGGCTTTTTGACCCTACTCCTGAGGGTAGGCGGTAGAGTGGCCTCGAAGTTGGCCCCCAGGGGTTTCAGCGTTGACTTGGGCTTGGCTAGTAGGCTGTCTCCCTCCACCCTTCCAGCCCGACACGTTTGGGGCGGGGGGGCATTACTGAAAGTAAGCTTTTTAGGGAAGGATTACTCTCCTAGCCTGCCACCAAGGCCTTCCCTTAACTTATCAAATATGTGGCCTTGGGCCTGAGGGAGGAGGCCCAAGGGAATCTGAGGATGCACACAGGTGGAGGGAAGGGTTGAGACCCTGGCTATGAACAGATGTTGTATGGCACCCTTACCCCTGTCAGACCTACTTGGACTATGCTGTGTTGGGGCTAGGCAACACAGCCCCAGTCTTATCTCCTCCTCACTTCTAGCCCGGAGAGCTGTACAGAAGCCAACAGTATTTCCTTGTGGTGGGTATGGCAGGGATGAGATCTCTGTCTTGGGGGTTTTGGATGCCTCATTCAGGCCATCATTCCCACGAAGAGCTGGGATTGGCAGGCAGTGTGATCCCAAGGATCCTTCACCAGGAATTCTGGGCCAGGACATGCTCCCTAGGGGAGGCTGGGCCCAGATTCACCATGGAGTTTGGGCATATTTGGCCTTGCCTTCTGTAAGTTTGCAGGATGATCCCCAGAGGTAAGGTCTGTGCTAGGCAAACACAGAGAATCCATCCGTCACGTCAGGGGTCAGGAAAGGTTTCCTGGAGTATGCATCTGGAGCTGAGGCCAGGAGAGTTCCAGGCAGAGGGAACTATGTATCAGAGGGAGGGAGCTGAGCAGTGCAGGCTGTCTGGAATGGAGTGGGGGAAGGAGTGGATGGTTAGGGCTCAAGACTGGTTGGGCCACCTGGACATCATCTTGGGGGCCTGCCAGGAGCGTTGTGTGGACCTAAGGAGTACTGAGTATGAACAATGTGGCATTGGGAAGTATGTGGTCTCTTATCGGCTGGGTCCTAGACCTTATTTCCTGGATTGGTGCTAAATGCACTCACTTATTCATTCAGTTCTTAGTTATCCTCCATCACGGCAGAGGAGCCTCAGGGTGTACCTAGAAACACAGAGCAACTGGAATCCTAACCTGCCCAGCTTCTCAGAGAATGAGGCTATTGACATTAGTCCTGGTGAGAGAGTCAGTTCCTAGGCAGGTTGATAAGAAGTCTAGGGGTCCCCAAGGAGAGAGGGGTCTGGAATTCTCAAGGAGGAAGAAAGGACAAACTTTTTTGTTCCTCTATGTTCCTTAGTATTATATAGTAATAATGTATCCTGCTTGAGGACAGTCTCTGGAAAAAAACCTTCTGTCTAATCCTGTTATCTTAAGGTGTAAATTATGGGAGTAGGTCTAGTGAGGTCTTTACAATCTCCAGACATTCTTTTGATTCACTGTAATAACTAATTAGGGCTTCCCTAGTGGCTCAGAGGGTAAAGCATCTGCCTGTGATGCAGGAGACCCAGGTTCGATCCCTGGGTCGTGAAGATACCCTGGAGAAGGAAATGGCAACCCACTCCAGTATTCTTGCCTGGAGAATCCTATGGACAGAGGAGCCTGGTGGGCTACAGTCCACAGGGTCACAAAGAGTCGGACATGACTGAGCAACTACACACTTACACTTACACACACACACTTAATAACTAATTAGAGAGTATTTAACTCTATGGCTAACACTAGCAAGGGGGTACTCTTTCTGCCCCCTTCTGATGCCTATGTCAGAAGCTTTCTCTATCTCCTTTATACTTTAATAAAACTTTGTTACACAAAAGCTCTGAGCGGTCAAACCTTGTCTCTGGCCCCAGATTGAATTCGTCTCCTCCGGAGGCCAAGAATCCCGGTGTCTTTTCTGTGGTTCAGCAACAACCTTTCACTGGGAAACCCCATGGTGGGTAGCAGACAAGTTGTTTCTGGGCACAAAGCAGGGACCTGACCTTGGCCATCAGAGGATCAGCATCCAAGGGTGACCAGTCTTTGTGGGTGGGTCTCCAATTGGTGGCAGAGGAAGTAGAGGCCAGGGGAGGGATACAGAAGGCTCTGGGCAGTGGGATGGAACTGTAGCAAGCCATTTCCACCTCTTCCTGTTACTTGAGGTGAAAGGCACGTGGATGGCTCTTCCCTTCTTTCTAGGAAGTGACCCTTTTAGAGACCACATGCCCTGATCAAGGCAAAGAGTATCCAGGCAGAGCAGATCTGGTGACTTCCTCTTTCAGATATTTCCTCTGCGGCGGACACAGTGACCACGGTTTCGCCACTGCATTGTCTAGTCCACAGGCGTGTCATCTAGGGGCTGTCGTGCTCCCCACTTCTGCACCGCATCACGAAGGGCGATGAGAACCGGTGCCATACCTCCTCCCGTGGCTGCCCTGAGGACACCAGGAGGGCGTGTCCTCTGCACGGCTGGGTTCACAGCTGGAGCCCAGTGAATGCCCAGGAGAGCCAAACACTGGTTGTCCACTTAGTGACCACGGACCCTACATGGGGCCATGTTTGGAAGGTATGAAGAGAGTGGCATGTGGGAGCAGTGAGGTCTGAAAGGTTACTGGGAGTAAAGGTAAAGGTCACTGGGACAGTGAAAGGCCTTGAAAGTGGGACAGTGAAGGAATGGAGGTGGGTGGGTTTGAGTGTCACAAGAAGTTAATAGTTAATGGACAGTATACTGCCCACAAGCATGTAGACACCCCCAGACTGGCTGGAACCAGAAGGTTGATGATCCTCCTTATCTCACCACCAACCCATCAGAAGAATGTCTACTAGCTGATCATGCTCTCTTTGAACATTTACTATAAAACTTCTTATCACTCTCTCCAAGTTGGGACACACAGTTTTGAGGGCATAAGCCCGCTGTGGCCCCCCTTTGCCTGGCAAAGCATTAAAGCAGGACTCTATATAGACTGAACAGGTAGAGAGAAGTCATCAGTGGAGCCTGGCCACACCCATCCCCATGGCGCTGTAACTGGAACTGTATATAGCTTCTGGAGAGCCATTTCCAACCTAGGGTTCAGGTGTGCTAAGGTGCTGGGGTCCCCAGATGAGTTGCCCTCTGGAATCTTTAGCAGGATTTAGCAGCTGGGCTCTGACCTTTAGTAAGGTCTGAGGACCTAGGTAGGCTGACCGGTGCCAGCTTCTCTCAACCTTTTTTGTTCATTGCCGCCTTCTACCAGACTGTCCCAGAGTGCCTTCTTTGGATTTAGCTTTAACTGGTTAAGTGTACACGTGCGCTGTCCTGTTTCTTGATCCTTCTTTCAGAGTATAAGACCCTGCCTATGAAGCAGTAACTGGCCTCTGTACCCTGACACTGAATTAAATCTCAAAGACAGAAATTTGGGTGAAGTAGAAAAGAATAGCTTTATTGCTTTGCCAGGCAAAGGCGCCACAGTGGGCTCATGCCCTCAAAACTGTGTGTCCCAACTTGGAGAGGGTGATAACAAGTTTTATAGTAAAGGTTCAAAGAGAGTGTGATCAGCTTGTGGGCATTTTTCTAGATATTCTTCTGATGGGTTGGTGGTGAGATAAGGAGGATCATCAACCTTCTGGTTCCAGCCAGTCTGGGGGCATCTACATGCTTGTGGACAGCATCAGTTCAGTTCAGTTCCGTCGCTCAGCCGTGTCTGACTCTTTGCGACCCCATGGACTGCAGCACCCCAGTCTTCCCTGTCTGTCACCAATTCCGGAGCTTGCTCAAACTCATGTCCATTGAGTCTGTGATGCCATCCAACCATCTCATCCTCTGTCATCACCTTCTCCTCCTGCCTTCAGTCTTGCCCAGCATCAGGGTCTTTTCCAATGAATCAGTTCTTCACATCAGGTGGCCAAAGTACTGAAGTTTCAGCTTCAGTGTCAGTTCTTCCAGTGAACATTCAGGACTGATCTCCTTTAGGATGGACTGGTTGGATCTCTTGCAGTCCAAGGGACTCTCAAGAGTCTTCTCCAACACTACAGTTCAAAAGCATCAATTCTTCGGTGCTCAGCTTTCTTTATAGTCCAACTCTTACATCCATACACGACTATTGGAAAAACTATAGCTTTGACTAGACAGATTTTTTTTTTTTTTTTAGAGAAGTCTCTGCTTTTATTGGCCAGCAGGTTACTTGAGGGGGTTGAAGCGGGAGGAATGGGTAGCCCCGATACCAGGCTGGCCATGCTTCATGGGCTTGTAGGTGATGGAAAACTCTCCTAGGTAGTGGCCGATCATCTCAGCCTTGATTTCCACCTGGTTGAAGGTCTTGCGGTTGTAGACGCCCACCGTCTCGGGCAGGATGATTATGTCGCAGATGTGTCTTCACCACCTCGAGTTTCTCCATGGGCGGCACATCCTTCTTGGCTTTGAGCAGCCGCTTCAGCAGCAGTGCTGCTTCCTCCGCGGGCCACAGTTCAGCTGCCGCCGCTGGCGCACATTATATAGCTGCATCAGCTGCTCATCGGCCATGTCCAGCAGCTGGTTGAGGTCCACGCTGCTGCAGTAGGTGAACTTGCAGAACGTCCTCTTCCTCTTCTGTTCCACTTCCATCGTCTTGTTGGTTCTTCAGAAAGACTGGACGGACCTTTGTTGGCAAAGTAATGTCTCTGCTTTGTAATATGCTGTCTAGGTTGGTCCTAGCTTTTCTTCCAAGGAGCAAGTGTCTTTTAATTTCATGGCTGCAGTCACCATCTGCAGTGATTTTGGAGCCCAAGAAGAGAGAGTCTGTCACTGTTTCCATTGTTTCCCTGTCTATCTGCCATGAGATGATGGCACTGGATGCCATGATCTTTGTTTTTTGAATGTTGAGTTTTAAGCCAGCTTTTCACTTTCCTCTTTCACTTTCATCAAGAGGCTCTTTAGTTCTTCTTTACTTTCTGCCATAAGGGTGGTGTCATCTGCGTATCTGAGGTTATTGATATTTCTCCCAGTAATCTTGATTCCAGCTTGTGCTTCTAGTCTTTCCCATTCTATTATTTTCCTCTATTTCTTTGCATTGATCACTGAGGAAGGCTTTCTTATCTCTCCTTGCTATTCTTTGAAACTCTGCATTCAGATGGGTATATCTTTCCTTTTCTCCTTTGCCTTTCACGTCTTTTCCTTTCTCAGCTATTTGTAAGGCCTCCTCAGACAACCATTTGACCTTTTTGCATTTCTTTTTCTTGGAGATGGTCTTGATCACTGCCTCCTATACAATTTCATGAACCTCTGTCCATAGTTCTTCAGGCACTCTAACAGATCTAATCCCTTGAATATGCTGGTCACTTCCAGTGTACCATCCATACCACGTTAACTTCTACTGGAGGGGGTTTTGGTATCTGAAAATAGCTCACAGATATACTGTGTGTATGCCTTCATGGAGAACAACAGGACCTTGCCCCAAGGCTGCACTGTTGTTTTCTGACTAACTTTTCCTCCCAGGTCTCCCATCCCCTCCCTTTGCTAATTAACCACTGCTTGAATCTGCTCCTTGGAACTCAGGGGAAGTCATGAGGCTGAAAAGAAGCCTGTTTCCCATAATCAAAGAAATGGTGGACACAGAAAGGCTTTTGTGTCCAGGAGCCCCACAGGGCCCTGCTGTCACCTGCTCTGCAGCCTGGGACAGCTGTGGGGAGAAGGCCTGTGGGTATCCGGCCAGGCCCAGGGCCTCATTCATGCTCTGTGTCCCCCTGCAGTGCCCGGTGATTTGGGCAACCAGCTGGAGGCAAAGCTGGACAAGCCGTCCGTCGTGCACTACCTCTGCTCCAAGAGGACGGATAGCTACTTCACACTGTGGCTGAACCTGGAGCTGCTGCTGCCCGTCATCATTGACTGCTGGATCGACAATATCAGGTGAGGGCTGGGGCACAACAGGGTGCTGCTTCCTGACCTAGTCCAGAGAGGCCTCCGGGGCCTGTTTCTATCTCATCTGTGCCTCAAGGGACCTCGAGGTCACTGACCTTTCTCCCTTCCCCTATCCGGTCTGCACTACCTCTGCACCCTCCCAGCCAGAACTTTCTCCCCTCTCCTCCTCCAGTGCTTCTTGCCCTGTTTGTGGTTTCTAGGCTCCAGTTCCTATTCACAGCCTCACTTCGTCCCCGCCCACCCCCACCCGTTCCCTTGCCTCTGCCTTGGTCACACCTGCTTCTCCAGCTTCTTGTTTTTCCTGGGATTCCTTTCCACTTGCTCTTTCACTCTAGAATCTCTCTCTCCACCATTTGCCTGATCAACTCTCTCCCATTCACTCTTTAAAACCCAAGCCTGGGACTTTCCTGGTGGTCCAGTAGTTAAGACTCTGCATTTCCAGTGCAGGGGGCTCAGGTTCAATCTGTGGTCAGAGAACTAGATTTCACATGCCACGTGGTGTGGCCAAGCAAACAAATCTCCACCATCCCTCTCCCCCAGACTGATTCCTCTGTGAAGTCTCCCTGCCACCCCTCAGAGCTCTTAATCTCTCTTTCTGCCTCTTCTAACTTGCACTCCTGGCCTGCCAAACATTGTTTTCTCGGATGTTTCCCCCAGTATAAGATAGTCACTGTTGAGAATTACTCATTATTGAATATAGACACTATACATTTTACGTATTTTCTTCTTTCTTTCTTTTTTTTGGGCTGCATTGTGCAGCTTGCCTGATCTCATTCCCCAACCATGAACTGAACCCGGACCCCAGCTGTAAAAGCGCTAAGTCCTAGCAGCTAGACCACCAGGGAACACCTCCCCCACTTTTTTTCATTGAATCTTACAGCAACCCTGTGAAATAGTGCTGTAACTTGTGTTACAGATGAGGAGATCTGGAAGCTCAAAAGGGTTACAGAATTGTTTGGGGTCACTCAGCTAATAAATGCCTAACTGAAATTCTACCCAGAGCTGTGTGTGTCTGAGCTCAGGGCTCCTGAGCATACTCTGAGCACACTGAGCTCCCTGAAGGCAGGGACTGTGTCTCTTATCTTTAAAGCTGTAGAACCTGAAACCTAATTGGTGTTCAGTAAGTATTTGAACTGAATGGAGTCTTACAAGTTAAAATGTTTTCCTTGAAGGCACACTACCTGGTTCCAGCCAGTTCTCTGGGTGCCCTGCCTTTCCCTGTTGTTTATTTCACCAGCTTTCTTGACTCTTTCCTCCTTGTGTGATCAGGGCTATTTCTGGGATGTTGATCTGCATTTCTATTTTTGTGGTGGAGACGTAATGGTCTCAGGTAATGCCAGCTAGAGGGGCAGACTGACCCGGAGAGGGGCTTTTCTGCCTTCATTGGGCCTCTGACCTGTTGGGACTTGAATCCAGACCAGAGTGCTTTGGCCTTCTAGAACCTTGTTGAGTGGCTATTGAGATGATCTCCAGATCGCCCTGGAGAGAGTGGGTCCCAGGACTTTTATTTGGGCCAGTGTTGGGTACTTATCAGCTTTCTGTGGCTGATCCCTAAGGGTGGGTGGGACTCAGGATCACTGGGGACTGCAGGTCTAGCCTATGTTTCCTCAGGCACCTTTGCTTCCTTATTATCAGGGGAGGCTAGAGCAGAGGTCCTGACCTGGCACAAGGCTCTCCTCCTGTCTCCTACCACCCTGGCGCCATCATTTCTCCAGGCCTTGCCCACCAGCTCACACGGCAGCCACTGGTGCTCAGGGTTTCTCTGTCTGGTTTCTTTTTGTGTTGCATTCATCATATGCTTTGCCCTGGTTGAGTTAGGGTGGATGGCAGGAACTGAATCCATGGAGATGAAGTGGTGGGAACCTGCAAAGTTAGGCTGCTTGCGTTTTGGGGTAAAGTGTGATGTTCATGGCAGAGCCAGGCCTGGCAGCCAGGTCCCTCTCCCCACAAGATCTAAAACATGCATTCTCACATGGGTGACACTGAGGAGAAGGGAATATTGCCTGATGGGTTCTGGAGCCAGTCTCTGGAGTGAGGCTTGATGGGGTCCTCATTTAGATGTGCTTACTCAGATCTGTGGGCTTCCCTGGTGGCTCAGTGAATCTGCCTGCCAATGCAGGAAACGCAGGTTCAATCCCTGGGTCAAGAAGTTCCCCTGGAGAAGGAAATGGCAATCCACTCCAGTATCCTTGCCTGAAAAATTCCATAGACAGAGGAGTATGGCGGGCTACAGTCTGTGGGGTTGCAAAAGAGTCAGACATGATTTAGCAATTAAACAACAACTTGGATCTATGCTTTACAAACTTGCTTTGTTACTTTCTGGTCTCTATACATCTGACAGACCTGAGGATGGGAAGGGAACATGGCTCAGGGCTCAGGACAGTATTGGGACATGTCAACTTTGGTGTTGCCTCTGGGTCACTGGCTCATTATCCCTTCCTGGCAGGCTGGTCTACAACCAAATGTCCCGCACCACCCAGTTTCCCGACGGTGTGGATGTGCGTGTCCCTGGCTTTGGGGACACCTTCTCACTGGAGTTCCTGGACCCCAGCAAAAGCAGCGTGGGTATGTAGCCCTTCCTTATGCCCCCTAGGGAATGGGGATGGAGGTTCTGAGGGATTCCTAGAGTGGGAGGAACCCTGCTGGTTTGAAGGGGTGGCTTGTGAACCATCTCTGATCCATGTGGGCACAGACCTGTAGAGTGCTCCCCTGGGGATCTCCTGGCTGTAGATGTCACAGTCTCTTTGGTAGGCATGGTGTGGCCGGCTGACAGTGACAGTACTCTGTCTAAATGTAAGCATTTCTGCCTACAGGTTCCTATTTCCATACCATGGTGGAGAGCCTTGTGGGCTGGGGCTATGAACGAGGCAAGGATGTCCGGGGGGCCCCCTACGACTGGCGCCGAGCTCCAAGTAAGTGGCTGCTCTGGTTTCCTCCCGGAGGCCATGGGAGGTGGGAAGGAGGAGATCAGAGCCACCACAGGCCCTGGGCCTTCCCTTATGCCCAAGTCTCTGGCATCCAGCCCAGCTGTCACTGCTCCCATCTCTGGTCACCCTGTCCTGCCTTTCCCCCACCCTCAGCCCAGGATTTCTGGGCCTCTGAGCCCTGGGAAGAGCAAATGAGGCAGAGGAGGGGGAAAGGAGCTCCTCTGTTTGCTCCCTTTGTGGAAATTGAGGGGAAACCAGACCCCTCCCCTTGGAATTTTCACACTGTCCCCACCCCTGTAGTCCTGGGTCTGGCCTGAGACATGGTTCGTGGTTCAGGCCCAAGGACCTTCCTGCCTGACCCTTGCCTGGCTTTGACCTGCAGATGAAAACGGGCCCTACTTCCTGGCCCTCCGCAAGATGATCGAGGAGATGTACCATCTGTACGGGGGCCCCGTGGTGCTGGTGGCCCACAGCATGGGCAACATGTACACGCTCTACTTTCTGCAGCGGCAGCCACAGGACTGGAAGGACAAGCACATCCGTGCCTTTGTGGCACTGGGTCCGCCCTGGGGGGGCGTGGCCAAGACCCTGCGTGTCCTGGCGTCAGGTAAGATCCCACCTGGCCCAGCGTCAGGAGGGCTGGTGCTGGGGGTGACACAGTCTCTTTCCTTCTCTTGTGTCCTCCTGGGCCACCCTCATGTCTCTTCTCTTGGGTCTTAGAGCCTTCCCTCTCCAGAGTGGTATTTTCCAGACATCTCTTTCTGAAAGAGAATATAACACTACTAAATTCACTTCTTTAGTCGATGACCCTTGTTATCTGTGTAAGTTGCTTGCAGCATGTGCACAGAGGGTCATATAGGGCACATGTGTACACACACACACACACTGTGTGGGCCTGGCTGGTCTAACTTGGTTTGATCCAGAATCTTCTGGAAGAGGGACTTCCCTGATGGTCCAGTGGTTAAGACTCTGTGCTTCCACTGCAGGGGGTGTAGGTTCAGTCCCTGGTCAGGAAACTAAGATGTCACTGCCAAACAATTAAAAAAAAAAAAAAAGTTCTCTGCAGGAGACTTCTCCCTCTCTTTGACCCCCCCTCCTCATTTCTTCATCCCCGCTTTCACCTCAGAGAAGAAAGGCTGGGCTTCAGCTTCCTGTTTATGAGTTACACCTCCCTCTGCAGCTGTGGGCAGCCTCTGTGGGCAACACAAAAAGGAAGCAGGTGCAGGTTTATCCGGGCCCACTTGCTTGGCAGTTGGGAAAACCACCTCCTTCCCTGTTCCTTTCCAATCTACCTGCCTTTTCACAACTGTTAGAACCTGCCAGCTGGAGCCAGTGGGCTTTCCTCCCTCTGCTAGGACTGGACATGCGCTCTATGGCCCCTCACTGTGGGAGCTGTGAGCCAAGGCCAGGCCAAGCATCTGATGAGCTTTCTTCCTCAAGTGACCAGCACTGCCTGGCTTGCCTATTGGTCACGTGATCACTGTGATCAGGCTTCTGTCTGGAGTGACCCTGAATTAGTTGGACAGCGGATCCAGTTATAGTGAGGACTCATCACACTGTCTACTCTGTCCAGCTTGGCCCTGAAAGGACACCCTCTGAGGTGTGGGCACCCTCTGAGTTTGAGACAGGTTGCTATGGGGAAATTCAGAGCTGGCCCTTTCAGAGATTCCCCGTGAGCCCCCTTAGAGCTTTGCTTCAGACTCTGGGAAACTGCTGTCAGGCTGTGGCAGTCTGGGAGTGGGGGTGGGGCAGGAAGGGTGGCAGTCATGGACCCCCAGCTAGGGATTCCCTTTCCTGAGGGGTTCTGGAGCCAGGCCCCGTCAGGCAGAGCTGAAGGTCTGCAGTCAGAGTTGGGGTGATGGGTGGCTCTGGATTCTGAGTAGGACACGGGGTCCATGTTTCCAAGTTCCTGCTTATCCTCTGGAGATCTCACTGGCCTGTGGTGTGTTTGTGTTATTGGCATTTCTCTGTCCCCGGCCTCCCCTCTTGCCCTGTCTCCTGCAGGTACAGGTGCCCAGGTGCCAGGTAGGTGGGTGGGATGAGACCAGGGCTGACTTGGCTGCAGGTCTGAGCATAGGAAGGGAAAAAGGTTTACAAAGCTCAATGTAGTAAAAGATTGAGAAGAATGTGTCTCTGGGCTGCCAACCTGCTGACTCACCTTCGACAGGGTCAGTGCCCACTGGCCGGGTGATAAGTACTCTGAGGAGGGTATTGTTTTTAACCACAAATCACCCCATGGGTGTGTGTTCCTGAACCCCTAGTGACAAAATGCAAAAGGAAAGGAACAAATCTTGGTCATGTGCTTCCCAGGTGGAGCAAAAATACAGGGAAATAGGGGAGTTGTCATGATGTTCACAGTGTAGCAATGGTGGAGTGCTGGCTGGGCGCTGGCAGGGGGCCTGTGGTGAGCACGCTGCCCAGCTAGTTGGCATTCCTGAGTACAGACTGACCTAACCCCACAGGAGACAACAACCGGATCCCGGTCATTGGGTCCCTGAAGATCCGGGCACAGCAGCGGTCTGCGGTCTCCACCACTTGGCTGCTGCCCTACAACTATACCTGGTCGCCACAGAAGGTCTTCGTGCGCACACCTAAGGCCAACTACACGCTACAGGACTACCGCCAGTTCTTCCAGGACATCGGCTTCGAAGATGGCTGGTTCATGCGGCAAGACACGGAGGGGCTGGTTGAGGCCACAGTGCCGCCGGGCGTGCGGCTGCACTGCCTCTACGGCACGGGCGTCCCCACGCCAGAGTCCTTCGACTACGAGAGCTTCCCAGACCGTGACCCAAAAATCCACTATGGCAGCGGTGATGGCACTGTGAACTTGCAGAGTGCCCTGCACTGCCAGACCTGGCGTGGCCTCCAGAAGCAAGAAGTGTCATTGCAAGTGCTTCCAGGCAATGAGCACATCGCTATGCTGGCCAACACCACTACCCTGGCCTACCTGAAACATGTGCTTCTCGGGCCCTGATGCCCGTGGCGGGCAGGGCCATGGGGTGACCCAGCCGCCGCTGCTTCTTCTGGCTGCTTGTACCATGGCCCACAAGTTGAGCGGATTGTGACTGATCATCTAAACTCCTAGATCTTGAGTTGTGAAATGGGGAAATGGTGTTTTTTTATCCTTCCTCTCTGGAATCGAGGAAGACATAGTCTGGACTTACTTGAGGGACCCTTGATGGCAAGAGTGCTACTGCTGGTGGAATTGTGACCTCAGGATAGCTCCATAGGGGGATTGACTGGCACCTGGCCCCACTCGCCAGTGCCGGGACCATGTGTTCTTCCTACCCCCGTGGCCTTTTCACACTCACCCACCAGGCCCTGGCTCCTCGGCCTTCTGATGAGGGATCTTACTGGCCTGTGGTCCCTAGGATGGGCTCCCAGTCTCTAGGGTGCACCTTCTCACACACTGGCCACACGTCGGCCTGCTACTGGCCATGAGTGGCTGGAGCTGCTGGATTCCCTGTGGCCTAACTGCTCACTCAGTCCAACTGTGGCTTTCTGGGAGCAGCCTAGTTCCCCCTGCAGGCAGGGGTGGGTTGTTGTCTTCTCCATGTGTTCCCAGGGTTCCTCGAGTGTTCCCAGGGCCTGGGGCATTCACTCCTACCTCTCTTACCTCTAAGAACAGCCTAGCTCAGGGCTAGGGACTGGGTCCCAGGAGCCCTGATCTCCATGGTTGGGCTGTGCACACAGTATTGATGCTATCTCCCTTCACCCTGGGGCTGTGGGTCAAGGATGAGAGCGGGCCTGGTGCTTCGCCCTTTAGGTACTCATGAAGAAACAGAACTCAAGGAAGCAGCCAAGGCCAGTCAGAGCCCCGCAGAGCTGCCCTCTTGCTAACCTGCCACATAGCTAGCTGCCCTGCCCTAGGGTCTCTGTAGCACCCAGGTAGGCTGGCACAGGACTGAGAGGAGGTGGGATTCTTGCCCACTCTGCCCAGCACCTATCTCCAGCAGGTAGCTCAGTGGTGTTTAGTGAGCAGGGACAAGCCCAGAAACTCAAGTGGGCCCCTGAGAGAGCCAGGTGCCTTGAGGGTCCCCTGGGGGTTTTCTTCCTGCTCCAGAGGTGCTGCATGACTCTCCCTGTGACAGGAGGGAAGGAGGATCAGGATCTGCCTTGGTGGTCTCCAAGTGGGCGACACCCAAGACTTGGGTCTGGCCTCTAGGGTGGGGCCCTAAAGCCACAGTCAGGCTGAACTGTGCTTCGCTCCTCCAAGGTTTCTGAGAAGTGGGATTTTCTCTGTCGCATTCATACCCAGCATCAGTTTTCCCCTTTGTTCCTGAGTGGGGGGCCCCGTATGGGACTCTGAGCAGGCTGTACCTCAATTCTGGCAATAAAAGTATTCTGGATGCTGTAAAATGCCCTGGCCTAGCCTCTGCTCTGAGCATGAGAGGAGGGAGGTAGTGGAAGGTGAGGGGGTTAGAGAGGCAGGTAATCAGGGGGTTAGACCCTGACCTCCCGTGGGGCCTTGATGGGGTCTCTCAGCACCAAAGCATGGCTCCTGGGCTCTTCTTTGGGCTTTATCCTCCTGCCCTCTCTCCGGGAATCTAGTTCCCGTCCTGGGACTGAGAACCAGGACCTGAAACATTCCTGTTGGAGTGAAGCTCTTGTCCTCTCCCTTCGCCTATCTGGTCAACAGACCCCAAATGTCACCTGAGAGCTGGCAGCCAAGGGCAATTAATTCTGCCAGTCACCCTGGCTGGATTCCCCTTCCCAGCCTCTACCCTCCCTCAACTTACAGGTCTCAGCATTCTTTGAATTTTTTTAGGATGCCACCCTTCTACTTAGCTTCATAAGCTCATCTGCCCACCATCTGTCCATCTTTGGGGACAGGGTAAGACTGAGGAAGGGGGAGAGACCAAGATGGGCAGAGACAGGGACTGAGAGACTGGGGAGCAAACGAAGTTGGATAAGGACAGAGAAACAGAGCGTCTGAGACAGGAAAACATGCATAGGGATGGGATTCAGGCCTGAATTCTGTTGTGCAGAGCTGAGGGCCAGTGTGGGTGGTGGGAGCCCCAATTCCTGCCTCCAATAGGAGCCTGGCTAGCCTAGGTTTTAGGCATCAATACATCCTGGGCCAGTAGAGGGCGATCTGAACGCTCTCACTACACCAGTTACTGGCCAACCTGGAAAAATGTGTTGCGCTGAGGGTTAGGATGTCTAGAAGTACATTGGATGTATATCTAGAAATAGAAATACCACTGGATGTCTGGAAATCCAGCTGCATCTCTGGGCTTAGAGAAATGATGACAATATGAAAGGGAGTAAGCCCTTACCCCCAGGTGCTGCCCAGCCTGTTAGCTATGCCCTGACATCTTATCTGATATTCATTGCCTTATAGCCGCCTTCACCTCTGACCTATTTCAACCCCACTTCTACCCTCGGTTTCACAGCTGCAGAGAAAGGATATGGAGTAGGAGCATGCTTCAGGGCTGGCAGACAGGGGTTCAAATCTGAGTTTTACCAGCTCCAGCTAAGTAGTCTTGACTCCCTGAGCCTCAGTTTGTTCATTTGAAGAATGGGGATGAATAAATGTTCCTTCCACGGTGGTCCTGAGGAACACTGATGGTGTTAGAGAACATCTGATTCAGCACTTGATTCATAAAGCTTTCAGGTGGCAGGATGCTGGCAGGGTGTGAGACAGTGAAGCCAGAGGTTCTGGGAGTTTGCAGGCCATGTATGTTGCTGATACAAGGACAAGTGGACTGGCTGCCGTTGAGTGACACAAGTATCCAGAGCTCTTCCTCTCCAAGCCAGAGAGGCAGGAGGGACTGATCCAGGGGGCAAAGGGTCAGACTCTTAATGATTCCAAATATATACAAGCAGACATACCTCAGACATACTGCGAGTTCATTTCCAGACAACTGCAATAAAGTGAGTATCGCAGTAAAATGAGTCATATGAATTTTTTTTCTGATGCATCTAAAAGCTGTTTACACTATAGCCTATTAAGTGTGCAGTAGCATTATGTCTAAAAAACTGTACATACCTTACATTAAAAATACTTTGCCAAAGACTGCTAACCATCAACTGACAAAATCGGGTTGCCACAAACCTTCTAGTTGTAAAAGATGCAATATCTGCATATCACAATAAAGCCAAGAGCAATAAGACATGTTATGCCTGTACTTTCATTTACACTTAGGGAAAATATTCCAAGCAGAGAGCGCAAGGAGGGCAGCACCAGTGAAAGCTTTTCAAGGATCATTATTTCAGGTCTATAGGGAGGAGATGGAAGGGCTTTTAGGCGTTTAGATATGAAATCATTCCAATATCTATTTTAGGAGCACATCTTATTCTGTGGGGAATGGATTAGAGGCAGAAAGATAGGAATTGGGAGGCTATTCTGGCTGGGGAGAAGAAAACCATGAGATGCAGGACCTAGGAGCCACGGGGGGTCATCTTCTGCAGGGTCACTGCCTGGTGGGGAGGTTATTTGTGTAGTCAACCTGAAAGGAGAGGATGTGCAGTTGTGAACACGTGTCTGGGGGAAATGCCTCCATGGCCTAGAAGAGAATCATGGCTTGAGGTGTGGAAGCTAGGGGTTAACCTCAGCTTTCCATGAGAACAGGAGGCCCTAAACACAGCCCCGGAGCTACCAGAGGAAAAGGATCCCTAGAAGAAGACAGAGGAGGAGGAACCAGAGAGAGGAAGAAGAAAGGAGGATGCAGTTCCAAGAGGAATCAAGCAGGATGAAGACTGAAAACGATCCTCACACCTGGGCCCCAGGGAGGCCTGGGCTTTACTTTGGAAGCCCGCGATGTCCATGTGTCTGCGGGGACTATAAAGGATGCGCAGTAGTCGGAGGTCGCGTCCTGGGTCTGTCTCCCCAGGGTCTCTAGTAGCAGTGTTGGCGGCGAACAAAGTATGGAGGCTCTTCAGAGTTCCTCGTGTGAGCTGTATGGGGTCCTGCCCCCCACCCCCACCCCAGGGAGTGTGGCCCGGGCCAAGAACCACAGAGGAAACGCGTGTGGCGTCACTTAGAGTTCCCCCGCGGAACAGTCCTCTTAGAGGCCCAGGGAGTCTCCAGAGTCGAGGAGCGGCCATCCAGTCGGCGAGTGTGGCTGGGCCCGGGTCACGGGAGCCGGGACCGCACGGACGAGCGCCCGAGCGCGGCCCGCTGAATCCCTGAAGCAGCCGCGGCCTCCTGCTGGCCGGAAGCGCCGCCGCCCGTGAGCCCTGCGCGGAGCCGGGAGCTCTGTCCCGACGCGGCGCGCGCTGTCGCGATCCGGCTGCGGGTGACGTGGCGGGGGCGGGGCCTGAGCGGTCGCGGTGGGGGCGGTGGCAGCACGACCGAGCATCCTGGAGGCGCCGGGCCACCGCGAGGTAACGGGCCGCGGGCAGGCGCGCCGGGGGAGCGGGCCTGGAAGAGCGCGGCCGGGGGGTGGGGGGCCGGGCCAGGGGAGCGGGGACCGGAGAGCTGGGCCCGGGCCGCGCCGGCGCCGCGTGCCGGATGCAGTCCCGGGAACCCCGCGTGGGCCAGGCAGGCCGCGGGCACGTGAGAGACGGTGCGCGTGAGCGCGCTCCCTCCTGAGGGGAAAGCCGTGCGTGTGAGCGGGACCTTGAGCGTGAGGGGAATTGCAGAAGTGTAAGACTGAGCGTGTGAGGAAGACGCCGCGCGCGTGTGTGTGTGTAGAGAGAGAGAGAAAAAGAGAGTTGGTCTGAGGGTGACCCTGAGTGTGCGAGACGCAGAGTGTGAAGGTGACGCCGTGTGTGAGAGAGACCCTGGGCGTGAGCATGACTCCCATGAGTGTGCGAGAGACTGAGAGAGGAGATGGTGAGAGGCCGTGAGTGTGAGAGACCGCGGTCAGAGTGGCCCCGAGTGTGGCCCTGGGAACACGAGAGAGAGCGCATGTGAGCCTCATGTTGAGAAAAAACCTGTGCTGCGTGGGAGAGACTCAAATTGAGCAAAGCTCACGGGGCAAGACTGAGCCTGTGAGCGCCTGAGCCGAGCTCTTTGGGGCCGCGGGGGTCGGGTTTGGGGGGGCGCGGACAGGCGCCTGTTGGAGGGAGGACTGTGTCTCATCTTAAGTGTCTTCACATCCCGTCACCTTGTTCGATCATCTCATGTTAAATGGAAGGCGATATTTGTGAAGCATTCAGAGATTCTTCACTGAGCAAACTATCTGGGCACCACTTGTGTTATAGGCAGTGATAAGCAGGAATCAATATTTAATTTAACATTTGTTTTTGAATACCTCTTTGTGCACTGGACTGTGCTTGGTAAAAAGAATTCAATCTCTACCCTTGATGGGGGCAAAAAAAAAAAAAAAAGTACTGCCAACAAATCTAGCGCCCAGTGGCAGAAACTTCAGCCAACTGGTGCTTATCACCCAGGGCTGATGGCCTGATTTTGAAGATCTGGGAGGAACAGACTTTTGAAAGCCTGTGAGTACTTCCTGAAATCATTTTCAACTGTCTTTTTCTTTTCTTGCTGGGAGGCCCATGAGTAAACGACCCAGGCTGCTTGCATTGCTGAGGTCCTGCTGTGTGCTGGTGGCTTTTGCTTGCCAACTTTGATCTCAGATTATCATTTAAAGTTCTTTATATTTGAGTTTTCTTTCATGACAAATATGTGGGAAACCACAAGCCTGATGTTCTGCTCTCCCTTTCTGTGAAGGTATTTTTATTACCGCCTAAAAGTAAATACCAGTTATATGGCTGATCTCCCTGGCATTTCTTGGTACAGGAAATTTCCTGACCTGTGTCCTCTGCTTCCTGTTGTAGTCTCCAGGATGTGTGGATACTTTTCTATAAAAGTGACTGAAGTGGTGCTCATGGGACCTGGGACAGAGGGAGCATGCATGTCTAGACATGCATGATTTGAAGTGACCAGGCTAGTTCTCAAAACAGTTGTTCAGTTACACCCCACTGTGGGTGTAATGGGACTTCTCAGTAATTGAGTGCTACCCCTGCTGGGCATGTCAAAATTAGATTTTACAAAAGGAAATAGCGTCTTGCTTCTTACTAGGTTCATGTTTTGATAAGTTGCCTCTCACTTTTTGTTGCAGAGATTAATTCAACAAGACAGACACTTGGAATAGGTCTGACTGGGGAGACTTCATTTTCTTCTTTGTACCTGACCATTTATGATGAAGTGGCTTGTGAAAGTGTGAGGTTGCTTATTTCCTCACAGGTGAATAAAATTGCTCTGCTCTTCATTAACTTTCTTGGATCTTTGTGAGTTGTGAAGAGTTTTAGTTACTTGAGTACAATGTGGGTACAATAGTAATGAAGAGAATGGCTCACATGTAATTAACAATTATGTAACACTAAAATTTATTAGATAAATTAAATATTTACTATATCTCTTTCTAAAGAGTAATTGTAGTGGTTTATAATTAATGATGCTGGCAATAAGCAAGTAAAAGTAGGAAACCAAAGCCATGGAAAAGACTAGACATCAAGTATTGTTGAAAAGTGAAGATATCTGTTCATTGTGATTGGGAACTGAGTTTGATCTTGAGTTTCCTGGTATCATAGATGAGAACGCAAATGTAAACAGTCACATAATTTTCATTATTTGGTAGAAGTACAATAAGTATACATAAATAATAAATATATACACATATAATTTAAGTATTAAAAAAAAGTGCATTTTCATCATGAAGTTTTATAAAACTCAAAGAATTAAAAAAAGGTCCTCTGTGTTGTCACCACATTTAAGATTTTATCTTTTTCGACAGCATATTTTTTGGCATAGTTATCAGTTATAAAAGTTTTCAAATCTAGCTTATAAAATATTCTTCATAATTGAACTGTGAAAGAGCCACTTTTTTCCCCCAGAAAATTGCCATATGTTATTTTCATGGTTAAATTTTCATGATATTTTAGTGGTCTGGTGAATTCCTTTATTATTTGCCTTGGAAATTTGAACTCATTATTTGAACTTGGAAAATAGGATAATAGCTATCAGAAAACTGTCTGTGTTCTTACAAGTGGGGTTTAACACTAGTTTCTCAAGACAAGAACGGGTGGGTGGAATTGTTTAATGGAGTTTGTCTTTAACAATGATTTTAGAGACTTTTAGAGAAAGGGAGACTGAGACATACACACTCAGGGACACAAGGAAATGTGTGGAGAAAGATGTCAGCCAGAATGCTGAGGAAGAAGGTGGGAGAATGGTGTCAGAGACAGAGGTGTATGGTAGAGACAAAAGGTACATGAGCCAAGGCGTTTGTCTGATGAGCTCCTTTGGTTTCTGGAAACTGCAAATGATTCAGTGTGACTGGACAATGGGAGGGACTGTCTGCAGCAGGGGGTCTAGTGATAAGGCCCTGCTAAGAAGGTTGGAATTGATCCTAAACCTCTCAGGCAGCAACTGAGGAAGGGTTTCTAACTCTACTCTGTACCAACACTCAGTACATAATAAGGTTATTCTGTAGTGAAACAAAGAGGAGCCAAAGCAGTTTTTTCCTGTTGTAAGTCTGTCTCCTACTCCTGAGCTACATCCGTCTCCTTTATGGAGGTAAGCCCTATTGTTGGTGGCCTTTTTTTTTTTTTCCCCTCAGAATTCACATAATGTTAGTCAAGAACTATGTTGGGGCCTTCCATTTTCAGGTGTTCTAGATCCTGGCTGATTTTATGTTAATGTGTTCTATTGACGACAGAGAAGTGTCTTGACATTTTCAACTATAATTATGGATTTATCTGTTTTTCCTTTCAGATCTATCAGTTTTTGCTTCATGTATTTTGAAGCTGTCCTGTTGGAGGAGATACACTTTTAGAATTTTCTTCTTGGTGAATTGATCTCTTTATCGTTATATAATGTCCCTTTTTATCTTCTTACTCTGAAGTCTTTTGTCTGATGTTACAATAGTTAACTCCCCGTTTGATTACTGTTTATATGGTTTTTCACCATCTTTTTATCTGTAATTTATTGATGTCTTTATATTTCTAGTGGGCTTCCTATAAATTGCATATTGGATTTTGCATTTTTATCTAATCCAGCAATGTCTGTCTTACAATTGGTGTGTTTAGATCATTTACATTTTGTGTTGTTATTGATGTGGTTGGATTAAAATGTGCCACTTTGCTAGTTGTTTTCTGTTTTCTATTTGTTTAATATGTTCTTTGCTTCTGTTTTCTACCTACTTTTGGACTATTTGATCTGTTTTAGCTGTACTGTTGGCTTACTATTTACACTTAATTTTTTAGTGGATTCTCTAGTTTCTCAATGTACATCTTTAATTAATTACAGTCTATCTTAAATAATATTTTTCTATACTACATATGTATAAATATTAAGTTGTGCAGTTAGAATTTGTACACTTTGTAGTTTATATGCAATATCTCAACATATATCTTATATAATACTACATCGTTTTCACATATAAGAACCTTACAATAGTTTAACGCCCAGTTCTTTTTTTCTATCTTTGTGCTGTTGTCATACATTTTACTTTTATATATGCATTAACACTGTATTGATACTGTTTTTGCTTTAGGTAGTTAGATATATTGTAATGCAATTAAAATAAGCAAAAATTATATTTTTAATATTTATTTCAGACCATTTGATATTGTAGAATTCTCTCTCTTTCTGTTTTCTTTGTTTGTTTGTTTTTGGTTTTTTTTGGTTGTGCCTGGAGGCATGTGGGATCAAACCTGTGTCCCTTGCAGTGGAAGTGCAGAACCCTAATCGCTGGACTGCCAGGGAATTCCCTGTCCTACAACTCTTAGATGCTCTTCCCTCCACCCCACCACTTCTGATTCTTAAGGTTTTCATTTCTCTGCTGAAATTCCACCTCTGTTCCTACATGTTGGCTAACGTTTCCATTAAAGCTTTTCATGTATTAATCATAGTTATTTTCAATTCCCTGTCTCATAGTTCCAGTATCTGGATCATCTCTAAGTCTTGTCCTGTTGATTAATTTGCCTTTTGATAGTGGTTGTTTTTCTTGCTTTTTTTAGGTGGCTTGTGATTTATTACTGATTGCCAGATAAAATATGTGGGAAAGTAGAGACTGAGATATATACTTTATTCTGGACAGAGGATACAGGTCTTCTTTTGCTAGCCTGTTAATGTGGGAGTTTGAGTCAGAAATGAGTTGGGTTTGGGTTTTGTTGCTGTGGTTACCTTAGGTGCACTAGCCCCTTCAGATTCCTCTGCTGTTTCCTTTCCCTGTGTGTGTTTGTGCTAACTCACCTCTGATTCTTTGTGACCCCATGGATTGTAAGCCACCAGGCTCCTCTGTCCATGGAATTTTCCAGGCAAGAATACTGGAGCAGGTTGCCATTTCCTACTCCAGGGGATCTTCCTGACCCAGGGATCAAACCCGTGTCTCTTGTGCTTCCTGCATTAGCAGGTGAATTCTTTACCACTGAGCCACCTGGGAAGTGCCCCCTGGCCCTGAGGGTGGATTTTTCTGTGTTTATGCTCCACCCTCAGCTTTAGGTCTTCTTTGTGCAGCTGTGCCTCAGTGCAGTCTCCCACAGCCTTGTTGCTGGATGCTTGCTCACCTGGTGGTGGGGAGTAGAGGGGTTCTCTGTTGTCTTGGGTCAGCCTCAGCCTTAGGCAGGCTCTGTTGCCCTGGGTCTGGGGAGTGGATCTTTCTGGGTGAGCCTGCCACCTCCTATGGTCTGAACCAGAATTTCCTGCCTCTCCCCCAGCCAAAGAGGGTGGTTTTATTTTTCTTTCACTCTGTCTCAGCTGCCTTGGGAGTGATAGTTTTGCCCATTTCCCAGGGGTTTAAGATTGTATTCTTTAGAGAAGGGAGCAGGTGGACCTTTGTATTTTTCCCAGAGCAGTGACTGCTTTCCTCCTCCAGGCCAGCCCACCTGTATTTCCCATGAGCACCCACTGAGGTCTCACTGGAGAAAACCCTTGGAGTGTCTATGGCTCTTACTTGATTTTTATTAGTAATAAGTTACTAAACTTGACCTTTAGCAATTTATTAAAAATTGTACCTGAATTCTTCTTTCTTGCCTGTATGGTGGTTCCATCGTTCTCCTTCTGCTACAGGTAAGGCAAAGCTTACATCTCTCTGGGGGTACTCGTTTTTCCTTAAATTTCAGTCTCGTTGGTTGGCCTGTGACCTCATCTCGCTAATAACTTCAAGAAAAGTTATAGTTCTGTAGATTATCTGGTTTTTCTTTTTTTTTTTTAATCTGGTTTTTCTTGACAATGGAGTGGAAGTGATGCTTTTCTCAGCTTGCTATATCTTAAGTGAAAGTTAAAAGTCAAGGCAATCACATTTCATATTGTTTTAAAATTTTCCAGTGAATGAGCTTACCTCTTTCTCCCCCTACCCCGTGATAAAATATTTATTTGGTCTTTGTCCACTGTTCCTGTCACACAGCTCCTGAAATTTCCTTATAAGAGCCATAGAGGCATCTTTTGTTATAATATTAGTTTTGTTCCCAGTTCCTCAAATAGCTCCAGATCAATAAAGGTTAAGTGGATGTCTTTTGTTATTTATATAACAAGCCTCTTCCAACACTCATGAGTCTATGTCAATGAAGTGATTTTTGAAAGCATCTAGATCCTCTAAGGATGGGGGTTGCTTGCCCCAAGAACCAACCCTGTGACTAGAGGGTTGGAAGTTTTAGTTGAGGTCTGACCTCTTGGGAAGGGAGAGGGTCTGGAGGTTGAATCAGTCACCAATGGTCAGTGATTTGATTAGTGTTGCCTTTGTAATGAAGCATCCAAAGGGAAACCAAAAGGGCAAGTTTTGGAGATCTTTCCATGCCTCTTTCTCCATACCTTGCCGTCTGCATCTCTTCCATCTGGCTGTTCTGAGTTACAGCCTTTACAGTAAACTGGTAACCTAGTAAGTAAACTGTTTCCCTGGGTTCTGTGGGTTGCTCTAGCAAATTAATTGAACCTGAGGAGGGAGTAGTAAGAACCTCCGATTCGTAGCTAATTGGTCAGAAGCAAAGGAACAACCGGACTTGCAATTTGGCCTCTTAAGTTGAGTGGGAAAGGGCTGTTTAGTAGGATTGAGCACTTAACCTGGGGAATCTGTTGCTGCCTCCAGGTTGATGGTGTAAGAGTTGATTAAACTGTAGCAGACACCAGATCTGCTTGGTATTACAAAACTGTTTGGTAGAAAACATAGACATCTGGTATCAGAAGTCCAAGTAGAATACCTGGTAGCCCCAGCCCCTCTCCCTGCCAGCTAGGGTGATAAATAGGGGAAGGCCAGTTTTCTCTGCTTGCCTCCATGTTGGGGTTCGTGAAAAAGTGCCACCTAAGTATCTTTACACTTTGTTTTTTTTTAAGGGAATGTAAAGGAGGGGAGAAAAAGACCTTTTCCCTTCCCCCAGTTTAGGTTCCTTGGGTGGGGTGTTGTAAATTAGACTGGCAAAAGACAGACTGACGAGAAAAACGATCAAGTTTATTAATATGCATAGAGCATACACATGGAAGCACTCACTAATGAATGAAGACCCTTCACCTGACTCTCATGTGAGATGGTAGGCTCCTCTGGTGTTTCCTAGTTTTGTTTTCATGCATATCTGGGCTCACCTGACAGATATGTGAAAACAAATATTTTCCCACGTGTTTGCAGAGAGTCACCTTCATGGCTTGGTGCCAGGAATGAAAGGCTAAGTGGTGCTGCCTTAAAGCCAGGCCTCATAATAAGCAGAAGTAGGCTGGCTCAACTCCTCTGGGAGTGGGGGAAGGGTTATTAATGGCTCCAGAGAAGCTTTTTCACTTGGGCTGAGGTCTAGACTCTGGAGCGGGGCTGGGGCAGGTAAGGCAGGAGTTTTGAGTGGGTCCTGTGGAGATTGGAGTTTTCTACTCTTGAGTGGCTGTGGTTCACTTGCTCTGAGCTCCATGAGGCAGGACTCCAGCATACCCATTTTTGTGACTAGATAAGAAGCTTCTGGGAAGATGATGTACTGTTCCCATTCTTATTCCTGGAAGTTATCTCTGTGACCTTAAAGGACTGACTCCTCCTGGGTGGAATCAAGTGGCTTATCAGATTCTTTCCTTCTGAAGATGAGAAAGATGAACTAGGGGTTGGGATCTGAATTTCCAGTTCCTAGGGCACAGGAATTGAGGGAGAGAGAAGGCCCTGCTGAGTGCAGGGTCAGGAAGGTGCTTGCCTTCCTCTGACAGATTCTGGGTTTTTCATCAGTAGGTTGGTATGGGATCCAATTTCCTTGAGGTTTCTGGACTGGCCCCGTTGTTATCTAAGAGTAGCAGTGTATGTGTGTGTGTGTACGTGTGCACACCATCTCCCTACAGGTTGCCTTCCAATGCCAGATCTGTGGATAAGAGGAGCCTTATGGTGTTTGTTTGGCTGTCAAGGTTCTGGGTCCTGTTATGGGGGAATCTCTTTGCACCCCTAGGTGGTAGTGAGGGGTGTTCTGAGGAGGAAAGCAAATAAGCCAATAGCAGATGAGTCTCATGTTAGGGTGCCCCCTGGATGCTCTTTCTCCATCTGGTCTTATTATGTTATCCCTCTCTTTAGGGCACTTTTGAAAAAGAAAGGTGTTGAACGGGCAAGCAGCAGTGTGGAAAGTAAGGTGAGTGTTGTGGACATAGCGACACATGGGTGTATGTTTTCATGGAGTTTCTCTCCTTGGTCCAGTCTCTGCAATAGTGTTAATGCCCTTATCTTTAGCATCTTCCTAGCCCTTCCCATCACATATTCATGTTCTTTGCTGGCCTGAGAGTAGCTATAGACCTCTCTACATGTGGCTAGAGACTGCAGAAGTGCCTGTTTATGTTTGGGCAGAGGTAAGACGGCATGGAAAGTGAGAGGCCTGTCAGGCTAGCTAGTGCTGGGACTTTAGTCTTCTCTGCAGGGCAAGTTGGCAGGTTTTAAGTTGGCAAGAACAGAGCAAAATAGAGAATTGCCTGACAGTCCAGTGGTTTGGACTCCAGGCTCTCAGTGCTGAGGGCCCAGCTTCAATCCCTGGTCGGAGAACCAAGATTCCACAAGCTGGGCAGTACCACCAAAAAAAAAAAAAAAAGCCAAAAAACAGAGCAAAACCTACATCTCAGGGAGAATTTATTCTATGGATAAACCTAATGTTAGCCTACCCTGGGCATCCTTTTGGAAGTCACCATCATATGGCGCCTGAGCCCTTTTGGTGTCTTTCTTGGAGCAGTGGAGGTCAGCCTGCCTCCATTTCTCTGTATCCTGTGGTAGGAACTGAGACAGGCTCATTATATTTAGGTTTGTATATGAGTCACATGGCCCCTACATAAGAGATAGGAAGGGAAATCTGCCTGCTTTGCAGGTCTAAACTAGAGCATTATCAGCCGTTACCCTCGACTGACAATACTTATATTCTTTGCCAGGCTGCAGTAAACACAGGTGTGAAAGAACCACTTGCCATGGAAGCCAGGGAGCTGGAGAATCCCACACCCACATACCATCTCATTCCTGAGGCCAGCCAGCCCAGGGAGGAAGAAGGTGACCGCATGCTACCTCAGCAGGCCACAGAAACTATGCAGCTGAAGAAGGAGATCTCTCTGCTGAATGGCATCAGCCTGGTAGTGGGCAACATGATCGGCTCAGGAATCTTCGTCTCACCCAAGGGTGTGCTGGTCTACACGGCCTCCTATGGGTTGTCACTGGTCATCTGGGCTGTTGGTGGGCTTTTCTCCGTTGTGGGTGCCCTTTGCTATGCAGAACTGGGGACCACCATCACCAAATCTGGAGCCAGCTACGCTTATATTCTTGAGGCCTTTGGGGGCTTCATTGCTTTTATTCGCCTCTGGGCCTCACTGCTAATTGTTGAGCCCACCAGTCAGGCCGTCATCGCTATCACCTTTGCCAACTACATCATCCAGCCCTCCTTTCCCACCTGTGAGCCCCCGTACCTGGCCTGCCGTCTCCTCGCTGCAGCCTGCATGTGTAAGTCTGAGGGCTTACTGGAGGAGTGTGTATGGGGGGTGATTTTTACAATGCTAATAGTAATTTATATTTGAACAGCCTATTTTGCTTTTTTGTGTATGCATTGGGAAGAGAGGCTTCTTAACTTTTTTGAAGAAGCAGTTTCACCGAAGTCATTTGTTCCTGAGATTAGTGAGGGTAAATGATAGGGCTGGGAGAAGTTTGAACCTGTCTGTGGCTTTTGGTGCCTCCCTTTCCTTCCACTTTTGGCTGTCCCTGATTTCTGTTCCTTAGTCTACGTGACAGATTGGTGATTGCCTTATATTTATCTTGTCAGATGTTTAGATTGGTGTCAATATGGCTAGTTGTAACTTAACCCAGGAAAAATCCCTCAGTGCTGAGGCCTTTATTCTGCTACTCCAAAAAAAAAAGTTATTTTGCTTCCCCCCTTTTAATCTTAAGCCAGTTTAAAGCCATCAGTGAGGAAATGGTCGTCTTTAGCCTATGGGGGTCCCAAGACTTTCTATCCTGTCGGCTCACGGTGAAACCACTCCTTCCTGTAACTTCTACTCTCTGCAGGCCGCTCTAAGCAGCAGACACCACACCAAAATGGCTTTTTCCCATTGGTGTTTCAGATTTCTTTATGCAGACTGTGTAAACAAGCTCCTTCTGCAGCTAGTAAGGAAAGTGGCTTCTTCCCTGTATTTGGATTTCTGAGGACAGAACCTGAGAGATCCCAGTGGATCTCTCTTTATCTTCCTTTTTCTTATGAGGTAGTAAGGAGGGATTTTATGTGAAATCATTGGACGGGAGAGAAGATTATTGTGAACTTAGTCCTGTAAAGCTAGTGTTTTAGCTGAGAAGTGACCCAGAATTCCCTGTGTCCCTTAGCACGGTGCTGCCAGAGGCACTTAATTATACTGTTTTTTTCCATATCTTTGCTTGCAGAACTTTGGCAGTATGTGCGGTTTATCCAATGTTAAAAATAGACTGACAGTACCTTGGAGTTAGCAGTAAAGAATTGTACAATATGCTGTGCTTCCTGACTTTAAGGAATTTATTAAAGGCAGATATTAAAGGAAAGTCTTCTACAGATATCCCTGGGAGGAGAGAAGGTGGTTACTCAGCTGTAACTGAGTAGGGTTACTGTATCTGATAGGGTTTCACCAGGGGTCTCTAGCCTGACCGAGGTCTCTAAAAAAGGCAGTAATTTTCTGATTGTAAAACATGTTTGTTCGCAAGGATGATACGCAAATTGGTGAAGCGTTCCTTATTTTTCAATAATCATTTGTTAAAAAAATAAATAAATAAAACATGTTTGTCAAGGAGAAAATTAAATTAGCCTCAAATCACCTGTAATCTACCCCAAGACGGGAGTACTTTTAATAGTTCAGTCACATTTCTTTCTGTTATAGAATTGGAACCATATTTTGTATATAACTTTATATTATACTTTTTAAACTTAGTATATCATGAATTTCCCTCCCTTTTGTGAAATGTTAAAAGAAACATTTTTAAAGTAATATATATATATATCTTCTGTTATATATATATATATCTTCTTTTTATTAAAAGATAATGCATAGACCATACAGACAATTAGAAAAATGCAAAAAGAAAATTAAAATCACCCATGATTTTACCTCTGAGAGAACTATTGTTACTATAAATATTGTGTGAAATATCTCCCAGTATTTTTTTTTTCCTGTTTACTCATCATTTTTAAAAAGTACCCTTGAGATCAGAGCTTCCCTGGTGGCTGCAATGCAGCCTGCAATGCAACAGACATAGATTCAGTCCCTGGGTCAGAAAGGAAATGGCAGCCTACTTCAGTATTCTTGCCTGGAGAATCCCATGGACAGAGGAACCTGGCAGGCTATAGTCCATGGGGTGGCAAAGAGTTGGACACAGCAATCCTTATGATCACACTCTTTGTGGTTTGTATATTGCATTTAAAAAATTTTAATATTAAATCCCTTTCATCAATTGTTGCTAGAAAACGTGGTTTGGGACACAAAAGTAGTTTCCAGGCAGTGTAATGGTTAAAATCATAGACTCCCTAGGAGTTCCCTGGTGGTGGCCTAGTGGTTATGATTCTAGGCTTTTGCTGCTGTGGCCTGGGTTCAGTCCCTGGTTGGGGAGCTGAGATCCTTCCTGCAAGCTGCTCTGCCTGGCAAAGAAAAGGCGGCAGTGCTGGTGGTGGGGGGCTTCCCCGGTAGTCCAGTGAGACGCCTCACTTCCACTGCAGTGGGCATGGCTTGCTCCCTGATCAGGAAACTAGGATCTAAGATCCGGCGTGCCATGGGGAGGGGAGTGGGTTGGGAGAATTACGGGTTGGGGGGCTGGGGAGTCATAGGCTCCCATGCTATGCTGGGTTTGGTTCCAGCTTTACCATTGAGTAGCTGTTGACCTTGGAGGAGATAGTTAACTATTGCCTTAGTTTTCTCGTTTGTAAAGTGGGAATATTGATTGTGCTGTTGACTGAAAAAAAATATGCAACCTAAATGTTGAGAGTTAGGTTTTATTTGGCAGACAAAACTGAGGACTTAAGCCTGGGGCACAGCATCTCAAGATGGCTTCTGAAGAGGTAAGGGAGGAGCCAGGATATATAGGAATTTTTGCAGCAAAGACCAGTAGTTGGAACATCAAAAGATTACTGTTTGTTTGTTGTTTTTTTTTTTGCCTCGAGGCATGTCGGATCTTAGTTTTCTGACCAGGGATTGAACCCATGCCCACTGCAGTGGAAGCTCAGAATTTTATCCACTCGATCACCAGAGAAGTCCCAAAAGATTACTGTTGATTAAAGAAAACCAGATATCCCAGGTTAAAGAATTTAGTGCTTTTCTATTTATGAGAAAAGTCAGGGGTCGTGAACATCCTTCCTTTGATATATACCTCTGCTTTCTCATCCTGAGTCTCCTCAGGGTATTCTGTCAGGGAGTGGCTGCCTGCTAGTTGGTGGGCATCCTGTTTCATCCTGAGTTCCTTCAGGGCTCCCTGAGGGGCAGCTGTAATGGATTGATGGCCACAGCATCCAGTTGTTTGGCTGATAGGGCAGGCGATTTTTGTGTTTTTTTTTTTTTTTTCAGTTTGTTGATGGTATCTATCTGAAAAGATTGTTGTGAGGAATAAATGAATCAGTACACATATTGTACTTCTCCCTGCCTGGCATGTAGTGAGTGCCTTATAATATTATTATTAAAAATAATGCTGCTATGGGAAATCTTTGTGTAGAGTTTTTTCATATTCTAATAGGGTAGAATTATGTAAGAGAAAACCCTGTATCTAAAGAATTAAACTGTTTTAAGTTTCTTTGTGTCTTACCCAGTTACTTTTTAGAAGGTTTTATGAATCCTTACTCTTTCTGAGCACCTGTGTCTGTGCATTGGTCTGGTGATGGCTTCAGGATGAATTCCAAGAATAACTAAGTCAGAGAGCTCAGTTGTGTCCGACTCTTTGCAGCCCCATGGACTATAGACTGCCAGGTTTTTCTGTCCATGGGATTCTTCAGGCAAGAATACTGGAGTGGGTTGCCATTTTCTTCTCCAGGGGATCTTCCCAACCCAGGGGTCGAACCCACATCTCCTGCATTGGCAAGCAGATTCTTTACACAGTGCCACCTGGGAAGCCCTAAGTCAAAGGGCACTTCTGTACATCATTTTTCATATAAAGAAGATTTTTATTTGTTAAATCTTGTTTTCTTTATTATTTTTCCCATTGTTTTTTGTGCTTAGGAAGCCTGTTTCCACACTAGGAGCTAATTTTTTGATTGGAGGAAAGTCTTCGTCTGTTAGAAAATGTGGTTATATCATGTAACTTCTTTCATTTAAATGTACCTTTACTCAGATTACTCAGTATTTGAATTCCTGAAAACCTGCTTTCTAGAAACTTAAGGCTTTTCCATAAAGCAGGCCTGAGAGCAGGAACTTGTCAAAGCTGCAGCCAAGTTGTTAAAACCTTGACCCATCCTAACAGACTAGATTTTAGGGCTCAGTTTACTTTTCTTCTTGGAAATTAGGGTATAGAATCAGGCTAAGGTATCATCCAGCTAAGCTGGGGTGTGCTGGAGGGAGCCTCCTTGGGCAGGGGTGGCACTGAGAGCAGCCTTGTCTCAAGAGATATACATGGGAAGAAACCGATTATGTCATAATTAGGGCAAAAAACAAAGATCTTCACTGAGTCCATTGTGAGGCTTGGGTAAGAGAATTAAGTTAGTCTTGAAACTGAGATATGACAGGGATTCAGGTTGTTTATTGAAGAGTGCCTAAAGAAGTTATATCCATGCCAGGTGGACAGTTAAGGTTCCATCCTAGAAGAAGGGGTCCAGGCAGTCTCCATGTAGCTAACTCTAGGTTAAAGCTGCAAGCCTATGACTCACAGACTAGACTTGGTTCACACATGTATTGAGCCTATACAGTGTTCTAAACAATTTTGAATTACTTGCCAACATTTAAAAATCAGGACTTGCCCTTTCTCTTGAAACATCAAGAGTTCTGGCAAACTTGGACCTATATTCCATCCTGACACGATCAGTTGCATTTGAATAGTGGTTACTTTTACTCCTCTAAGTGAACCATATAGTCTCTTGTTCACCCCAGTCCTCCACTCCCTCTTATTTTATATCCAGACATACTTGTCTTTGCTCATTTATATTACCTTCTTGGGTCCTGAAGGCACTGCTGTTTTAGATCGTGTCTTCTGACAACCCCCCACCCCAGTCCCAGGTTACACTGGTAGGGGGGATAGATCCAAGCAGGTTTTTTTTTTTTTTTTTTAATTTCAGATTGTCTTTAACTACTCATTATATCAGAACCGTGGTTCTCAATTGGAGGTGAGTTCGCTCCCCAGGAGACATTTGGTCTGGAGACAGTTTTCGTTGTCACAACTGCTGGGAAGGGATGCTGCTGACATGTAATGGGTAGAGGTCAAAGATGCTGCTGCTGACCATCCTGTAATGCACAGGACAGCCCCGCACGACAGACTTCTGTGGCCCAAAATGTCAGTTGTGCTGAAATTTAGAA